GCAAGCAAGCAAGCAAGCAAGCAAGCAAGCAAGCAAGCAAGCAAGCAAGCAAGCAAGCAAGCAAGCAAGCAAGCAAGCAAGCAAGCAAGCAAGCAAGCAAGCAAGCAAGCAAGCAAGCAAGCAAGCAAGCAAGCAAGCAAGCAAGCAAGCAAGCAAGCAGCAGGCACGCAAGCAAACGAAGAAGCACAAACACGCAAAACCAGACGAACAGACACCAAACACAAACACACAAACAAACAAACAAACAAACGAACAAACACAAACAAACAAGCAAGCAAGCAAACAAACAAACACACAAACACACACACACAAACACAAACAAGTAAGCAAACAACCAAGCAAGAAGGCAAACAAGCAAACAAGCAATCAATCAAACAAACAGGCAAACACAAACAATTCAAGCAAGCAAGCAAGCAAGCAAGCAAGCAAGCAAGCAAGCAAGCAAGCAAGCAAGCAAACTGACAAACAAACATAAAAAAAAGCAAACAATCAAGCAAGCAGGCAAGCGAACGAACAAACAAACACGAACAAGCACGAGCAAACACGAAGAAGGAAGCAAGCAAGCAAAGCAAAGCAAAGCAGAGCAGAGCAGAGCAAAGCAAAGCAAAGCAAAGCAAAGCAAGGCAACAAACAAACAATGAAACAAACAAACAAACAAACAAACAAGCAGACAAACACAAGCAAGCAAGCAAGCAGGCAAGCAAGCAAGCAAGCACGCAAGCAAGCAAGCAAGCAAGCAACCAAGAAAACAAGCAGACAAACAGACAAACAGACGAACAGACAAACAAACAAACAGACAAACAGACAAACAGACAAACACAAACAAGCAAGCAAGCGAACAGAGAAACCACTACAAACAAGTAAGCAAGCAAACAAGCAAGCAAGCAAACAATAGACAAAGAATAATGACCGAACGATTGAACATTGGGTCATGGACAAGTCGACCCGCCATGAGCCTGTGAGCCATGCTTGTCCCATGGCCGGCCAGCCTCCAGCACCTTCTCATGCTCCACGCACCCAAGATCGCAGGCCAAGCCTCCGCCTGCATCGTGGTTGGCGTGTTTCCCTGGCACAAACCACCTCAAAAGCTTGAGGGGCCGGACAGCAGAATCTTGCATGACCCTATATCGCTGTGGGTCAAAAATGCGTACCAAACATGGAACCCTGGTAAATGGAACCAAAGACTAAAACCTGCGGTCCCTGGTGGTTTTTTTTTTTGACCCATACCCATATACATGGAACAATGCTAATGGGTCTGGCCATGCCGACACATGCGTACACGAAGTCAAACATTTCACATTTGCGCGAAGGTCAATACTCATTGTGTGCTCTTCTGACATGGGATGTTCCTGCGCACGGTGACTCGATACTCGGGAGAGCGCCAACATCGTTCCCTTTACTGAAGTACATGACTCAATGACAGTGAATGTTGACTGTGGCTCACTTCTACCTGCAGGTTGTTGGAAACTGTTTCTGAGCGCAATCCTCTGGAAAGAATGCAACCAACTTGGCTCACTCATCACGTCTGGGGGTCCCCCAACTTTAAATCCGGAAAGAAAAAGAAGACAATGGGGTTGTGGGATGTGTTCGAACCAAACTAGTAATCATTTCAGATGTCATATCATCTTCAGCCCGGTGGCTCGTGTTGCATTGCGCCAGGTCCTCCGAAAGGTTGCGGTAGGCACTCTGCAAGGCGCCGGCAAACTGAAGTCCCAGCACAGCTCGCAGCTTCGGCACCATCTCTATTCCATGGCTTCGGCTGGATCGGCAGAAAGGCCGGTTTTGACTTTGTCAGGTTTCCCATGGTTTCCTTTTTTAAAAGGAGTGCCTGGGAGGCCGATCCATGAAAATATGGAAGTATCGGGCATTTAAACCCCTACTGGAAGGATTGTCTGGCGTCCCAAAGTCAGGGGTGATCCGAATTCATTGACTGGCTGCAGGTCTCAGAATTTCAGCTTGGCGGATTGCTTGGTGCATGCACACCAGTTTCTTTAATAAAACATTTCCTGCGAGCTTGCCTGTCACATACTAATGGCTGAGGCAAACAGTCATGAAGCACGGCAAAAAGGTGATGATGTGGCAAGCCACCGTGCCAAGCAGCCTGTCTCTTCGGCACAATGCCAAACTGCAAATGCGCCATGCCGGCCAGGGTCGAAGTAGCATTGGGGTGGTTCAACTCAACGGGTTTGTGGAAAACCTTGCGCCGGGGGCGAGCGGGGTGAAGCGGTTGCATCCGTCTCTCGCCTGAAGGCCACAGCGCCATCCACCAAGGGACCTGCGGTCTCGTCCTGAAGCCAAGGACTCGACCCACATCACGAAAACCCAAAAATGAGGGAGTTTCTCTGCACGGGATCTTCCTCACCTCACAAACCATCATGAAATCCGATCGGAGGATTTTGCAAGACAGCCATGTGTGGAGCCCAGTCGACCACGATGACTACGTTTGGAGGTTATTTGTGCAAATCTCGCGTGAATCTGCTGATGTTGAAAACAGCTGTGGGTTTGACAGCTGGTTCATTTGCACAGTTGCTGCCCAGCGGGCAGCTAGCAAACGAACACCGCAGACGTTTACACGGCATCCAACCAACACGTGCTAAACGGCGCCCTTTTCCGGCGACAATAACACGATTAGTTTACCCCCCCAATTCAAGGATTCTTCAAGGTTTCCCCTTTCCCCTCCCCAAGCGCCAACAAGGTTTGCCCAAAAAACCCTGCCCAATTTTTGTTGGTCCTGTCTCCTCAAAACCCCCCCTGACTAAAGATATCCCCAGCCCCGAAGCTCAAGTTTCCCCCAAAAATGCGGCTCCCCCAAAATGCATTTTGTTTTACAATGTGTTGCTTCAATGACGAGGGGTTTAAGCTCGCAAAGGGGACCCCTGTTGGAGGCCAGCCCCCCCTCATTAACAGAAAACCCCCCGCGATTGATCAGGGCCCTTTTGGGCTCAAAACCAACAAAATATGATGTTGTCTTTTAAAGTCGTATTGCCCAGAAGGGGCCAAAAGTAAGAGGACGAGGACCGAAGGGGCTCCAGATCAATCAGGGGAGTCCTCCAAAACGTCTCAGTTTTGGGGACTTGTCCAAACCTTGTCAACCTTGAAGGGTGTGTACATATATATATATATAGTGGTGTGTCACGCACCACGACAGCTTTCTGCATACTATGCCCACACAAAAATGTGAACGAGAGATCCAAACTCAGCATCCCCGTCAGTATTCAGCGGGCCTGATCGATGGGACGAATCAGGGACAAGGCTCCATCAATGTCAATGTGCACATAGCCTGGGGCGAGGTACGAGTGCAGTGACAATCCGAATAAGCAACCTTTCCAGGATTGGCCAAAGTGTCTGAGTTTTGAGCACACCTTCACACAAAAAATGTCACGTGTGCCAATGGCTGAAGCGCATTGAATCCAATGGAAGGGACCACCCGACCACTTCCAAAAGTAACCCAAGTTGTCAACACCTCCCCAACCTTAAGAAAACCATGTGGGGGTTGATCAACAGGTCCTTTACATGGGATGACCATTGAAGGAAACCTCTAAAGCAATGATCATTCCCAAATAGCACAAGTGTCCCATGGTCATTTGGGGGCCAGGAATATTGATCAACCCCCATGTGAAGAAGGTGGCTCTATCAATTCAGGCCCTGGCCATCTGTCGACGACCGTTTTCTCAAAGCGGCGACATCCTGGCGAAGTGGCTGCGAGCGCGCACACACGCTGTACACAAAGGGAAGGGGGAAGTTTCCATCGCGAGGCATCCCGGTATTGTTGGTTTCAACACAACGGGTTGTCGGAAGGGGTGGACCAGAGTTGTTGAAGGGGACACTAACGCAAACACAGCAGGTGTGGTGGCCCAAACGCAACCCCGATCTATCCGTCATCAGTGGTTGCAATCTGGAACCTGGTCAAGTGAAAGGCCCCCCGTTTCCTGCAGGGTGAGCAAGCAGAGAGAGAGAGAGAGAGAAACAGAAAAAAAGAAAGAAAGAAAGAAAGAAAGAAAGAAAGAAAGAAAGGAAGAAAGAAAGGAAGGAAGGAAGGAAGAAAGAAAGAAATAAAGAAAGAAAGAAAGAAAGGAAGAAAGAAAGGAAGGAAGGAAGAAAGAATGAAAGAAAGCGAGAGAAAGAGAGAGGGGGAGAAAGACGAAGCGAAAGAAGAAAGAAAGAGAATGTAAAAGAGGAGAACCAGAGATAGAGAGAGACAGAGAGAGAACAAAAGGAAAAATAAAGGCAAAGAAACCGAGAGAGGGAGACAGAGCGAGACGGTGAGTATTCCAGCGTTGACGCTGTTCATGTATGGTGCCTCAAAAAATCAGCAAAAGCCCCTCTGACGTGAGCAGTTTGGGCTTTGCCCCTTGGTCAGCAGCTAGCAGCTGATCAGGACCCCACAGTTTCGACCTCATTCAGCGGTGACGTATTGATTGGGCATGGTTGAAGCAGGTGAGCCTTCAAGAGTCATGCTAAGTGTATGATGTGTATGCAAACATCGAGATTGTAGTAAGGGCTGCAACTTCCCAACTCGCGTCCACCAATTTTCGGGAGATCCTTTCAGTGTGTGTCCATCCTCTGACCGTTTTGCGACCAATCTTTGCTGATGTGTATAGTGCTTCTGTTGCGGGTTTGCCTCCTACAGTTCTGGCAAACAAATGCGTTTTGTTGTCTGGGCCAAACTCGAACAATACTTGCTCCAGGATGTTGAATGGCACCTGCAAAGTCATGCTATCTACTTGACGTCTGCCCATCCACCCAGGAAAAGGGCCCTTTTGCAAGGCTTCTTCATGTTGGAAAGCGGGGAGCACCAAACGATGCTTGTGGGAGAGGGAAAGCTCAGCCACGGAAGCTTGGGCTCCGGGCGGACAACAAGCCCACGCTGGTGCGGTGGTTGGTCTGAACCTGAGACAGCGCAAGGTCTCAGCCTCCCTTCTCACCTCTGTTCCGGGTACATACAAGCCCCCACCACTCCCAGCCCGCCAAACTACAGAAGGAAATGGTTAAACCGCTGCTTCGAGCAGCTCACCCTGGCCACTGAGCCCGGCAAGCTCGTTAGATCCAGACTGAGACTACGTATCTGTTTGATGTGGTTGCATTACCTCATTGCAATGAGAGTGCATTGCCTCAGGGCAAGGTTGCTGCGGCAAGCAATCAGAAATGATCAGCTGGTACATCTATCCCTTCAAACGTTTCTTGACACGTCTCTTAAATTCGGAAGCGCGCGTACACCCTGCGAATAAGGATGACAATACGTCGGCATGGCTCACTCCACCACCAATAGGGACCAAAAGAAAATGTGTAACCCCTCGATAGACCATGGCGATTCTTTCTCTGCGCTGCACCCTTCTGATCACCAACCAATTGGGATGCGATGGCTACAGCAGTGCCCTCCACGAGAGCGCCCCGGTACTCCTGAGAGTTGACTTCCCATTCCTACCCATCCTTCTGTCCAGACACGAACCATTTTGCCTACCTACGTGTTGAGCAAATTTGCGAAGAGAAGAATTCCTGAGGAGAATGTGCATTTTGAAGCATGAGGCCCAGATCATATTGTTTGTACCCCCAACCCCTGCGGACGGGTGTCAAACTCAGTGATCCCTTGTTGCACTCACTTGCAATCAAAGGAAGTACAAGCGATACTCCATTCGGGGGTGGGTATGCAAGGCCCCATGAAACCTCCACTCAAACAGGGCCCCTAGCTTTGACCGACCTCCCCCCCCCAGATGCGTGTTTCTGCAAAGTAGGTGATCTCCTCCAGGCCAGCTGGGCTTCTTCCCCACTTTGCAATCCCTCAAGGCATTGCAACTACCAATTTGCGGCTTGTGGCTTCCCCAACTTCCCGCTTACAAATATGGCCCCAGCGCGGAGTCAAATGATCATTCGGGAACTGGGGAGTTGGATAATCGGATCTTGTGGAGAAAAAATATAACAAACAAAGCCCTGCATCCTTTTGAAGCAGCCAGTTAGGCGCTCGGTCGCTCTGTGAGTGCGCTTTGGCAGCTCTGGAACTCCTCGTTGGCAAACACCGAACCATCCATCGCCGGCAGGTGGAAAGCGCAAGTTGAGGCCCAGTGACCCCAATTAAAAGCCAAGCAAGACAGGCAACCAGTTGGCTTTGCATTGGGTGTCACATGATTTCTTCCGGTTGCCTACCTCACAGGTAAGTACAACCACTGGGCGTCAATTTCCGGATCCCTTGCCGGTTTCTCGCGAAACTCTTCTGGAGCTCAGTCCACCATCGCCTCGCGGATGAAGATGATCCTCTCCACCAGGTCATGCTTCGATCCCAGCGCGGACCAGTTCTTGGAGCGCAGCCACTCCTGCAGCAGCCGCTTGTTCAGCGGCTCCATCAAGCCTCTCAAGGGCGCCGAGCCCCGGAGCTTCCGCAGGTCTTCGTCGAAGCGCTTCCTTCAACTTTTGCACATGAGGCGCGACGCGCGAGTCAATCTACACTTTGCTGAGCTCCGGAATCTCCAGAAATATGTTTCTCTCTGAATGCGGCCATTGCAAATTCATGTAACAATCCCTTGCGAGATTTGCAGATCCGAATGCTCCGAGGATCCATCTCAAAAAGCCCGTGTCTGCGCTCCCGTCACCTCTCACCCAAACCACCCCAAGACCGAAAGCGGCCGATCTGCCAAGAGCCAAGACTCAGCTGGGAGGGATCCAGCTCCTTTCGCACCCCGGCCGCGCGCCCCGGTCCGGCGCTTTCCGCCGGAGCCGCCGGCGCCGGATCCGCCGCCGGAACCGCCGGCGGCGCTGCGGGTGGCCCGGCGGCCCCCGCGCCGGGCCCGGCGAGGGGGATCTGCAGCGTGGCCCAGCGCGACTGCCCGGCCTCATTGGCGGCGGCCACCTGCACCTTCCATGGGAGACATGGCCATGGGTGAGCGTCAAAGGCCAAAATCCTACCCCCAGTGAGCAGCCCAGACCAACCGAAAGCCAAATCATACCAAGGGAACATCCGATTCAACCCAACCACTAAAGTAGGTTCGAAAATGGGTGAATTCACCTGCCCTAAACTGGGGTACCATTGGCTTTGTCCCACAGCCACATGGAGCCGACTTAGGTCCCTGCAATAGCCACTCGCAAAAGTGAAGCATGGAGTTGGGCAGAACAGGGGCTGGCAAATAACCCCAAAACAGCATTGGGAGGTCATTCCACAGACCTTGTGCCAGCCAGGGGGTCTTGGTAGTTGGGCTCTGTACATTTTGTGTGCCAAGCGGCATTTGCAGGGGACTAGTTGCCCGAATCTCATGAGATTTGCTGGCTTTCCCAACTGTTGGAGGGGCCGTGCCGGTAAGTTCTTAATGGCTGTGCAGGAAGTATCCATGTCTCCTAGTCACCATCTACCTTGCTCCCATACCCCACGTGTCCCATGCGCCTGGGTCAACGGCCCCAGGCCGGTGAGAGGACTTTCAAGTCAGCAGTCCGAACTACTGAAAGGTTCAACCAGAAAAAGAAGAATGAATTCCAGGAGGATGTCACCACACGTCTTAGAAAGACTGGGCTTCAGATTTGGAATCTGGAAAAATCGAAGAATTGCACATCTCTTGTGGTTTCCTCCAAAAAGAATCAACAGTTGTTGATTGTCTTCGCACCACCGGAAAGGGGCGCCGTGAGAGTGAACGCGCCTGAAGCGTCTTCTGCGTCCAAATCTTGGGCATCTTTTGCAACTCCTCCTCCGAAACCACGTAGGAGGTCAAGTGCTCGATGCCCACGAAGCTTCGCAGCTCCTGGGGGTGGATCGCGGCTTTCGCGGAAATCATCTCTGCCAGACATGCCGCAGAAGACTTAGTCAAATGCCACTATTCCCAATATATATATATATATGCATATATATATATATATATGCACATATACAATTACAAACATATATATATATATAAATATATCATTCTGTGTATGTCAATCCATATAGAGGCTTCGTTCATCGCTGTGCGGTCAACCGGACGGGCCGATGTCCGAAGCCGACTGCCTGGCTGTAGTCCGGCTCCAGCACGGTGACCGTCAGCGCCTTCCCGTAGGCCGGGTCGAAGGCCGCCACGACATACCTCGCGCGGAGGCGTCGCTTCGGGGGGGAGGGGGTGGGGTGGTGGGCGGCTTCCAAGGGGAAGAAAACCGCCATTTGCGGATGAGTCCCCTGGAAAAAATGGGAACATATGTCCAGTAGATCGATTCATTCCCTTTAAGACCAACAGGGGAAAATGAAAAAATACGTCGTACCCAAATGGAAGGAAAGCGGAAGGGGGGGGGGGGGTTGTGGGGACTGGCGTGGTCTGTTGCGCACGCCAGGCTTGGTGATTGAACAGGTAGGACCTGTGACTGGTTTCCTTCGACAAGGGTGGGCGTGATGGAATTAGCTAACTTCAGCCAAACAATTCACAACCTACAATCATTCAATTCTGCTGAATCTGCATTGGCCTAAAGAAGGGGCAGAGCTGTCAATACCTCTACCCCTGAAGTTGAAGGTATGGTTTACAAGGCATGGGTTGCAATGAAGGAGGGCCACAGGCAAGAGTGGCCTAAGGCTGCACGGATGGGGAGAGGAGGGAGGAGATGCAAGAGGATCATAAATGTGAATGCTTGACTAGAGGGGATTGCAGCAAAACACGTTTGTTTCGCTCTGAACGACGACGTTGATGAATGAAGGATTGCCCAAGATCTCGATCACGGGCGCAACCTACAGATTTCCGCGAGAAATTAACAATCCATGTGAGTTGTCTTTTTTGGGGTGGCTTCAGCCATTGTAGCCCTACTGTTGCCCTCTTGTGGGACTTGTGGTCGAATATTGCAAAGTACTTGAGCCACTGGTATCTGCAACATCTGGGCCACTTTGGGTGACTGAAGCAGGGACTCATCTTAAGCATACCTACACGCTTTGGCAATCATCCATCAAACCAGGTTCTGCCTGTAGTTTGCTGCCACTTCTCCTGTTTTACCGAATTCTCACTTCTCGGTTCTTTCCCAACAAATCACCCAACTCACCCAGAAAGGGGAGAAAGAAAAAAAAACGCAAGCCGCTTCCTTCCCCGGCCAACCCGCCCCCCCCTCCCCTCCTCCCCCCATTTCCCCCGGCCTCCGCACGGGCTGCGCCTCGCGCTCCACCGGCGGCTGCCAGGCGAGGCGGAAGCGCCGCCTGCCGCGGTCCCCGCAGAGCGCCTCCGAGCGCAGCTGCCGCGGCGGCGGCGGCGCCTGCTGCCGCGACAGCCCGCGCTCGCAGGCCTCCTGGCAGCGGAGCCACCGTGCGGAAAACCCAGGCGAGGAAACCCGGAAAGACACCGAGGAACCGGGCGGTTAAGCAGTTGAACACATATATGAAAAATAGATGGGTATGCATAGGTCCTCTTGGAAAAATAGATGGGTATCCCTGGGAAATGAAATCAAACCCATCTAAACCAGTGCCTTCTGTTTTTAACCAAACTAACCTAAAAAGGACACCTATGGCCTAAGATCGAACCCCAGAAAACGGGGCAGACAGGGCAACCGGAAAAATAGTGGCACTTTCTCACCACACCCTTCAATCCCTAGACTAAAGAGAGCACCCTCAAATACTCAAAAGGCTTGGCAGCCTCCTAGGGCATGTATAGCCTCTCCGTCTCATGTATATACTGCTTTTCTTTGGTTCGAGTTAGTGGGGATGTGCCACAACGAAATGGGCCGCCTTTGGAAATGAGGTGTTCAAAAGATATCCAGCATTCTACAGGCATCCAGAACTGCGAAACTGCCACACTCACGCTGAACCAATCTCCGACTGTCCAGGCATCTTTCTGGAAAGCAACCACACACGGCCACACACTTTAGCAAGAAAGGAGGGAAACAGCGCGGGCAGCAAAGCAAAGCAGTCCCTTTGAACCCAGAAAAATCCATGCCGAAGTGTTGAATCTGCGCCGGAAGACAATCTGGAAACGCAAGGATGCTCAATCAGTTTATCGGAGCCGCGCACATTCCTACGGTCCAACTGGTGTTCCAAATTTTGTCAAAAGCAGGAGTGCAGGAACGCGTTCGTCCTCTCAGTATCCCCACCCCCAGCATTCACAGCATCCCTAGCAACGCGTCCAACAAAGCAAGAAGGAACCGGCCACGCAGCCAAACCATCACGCGCCAGGTTCACTCCCCCCGAAAACAGACGACAGGTAGCTCTTCAGAACTCGCTGAGTTGAGAGGGCCCTCTTTCTACACTTCCAAACCTGAACCTCCACCTGGCAACTCACCGAAAAGGCCCCTGCAAAAAGCTGTGCAGTTCTCGAGTTTCCGTCATACGTACCATGGGCCGGGGGATGATCAGCAAAAACACACGCAGGTCGCACTGGTCATTTGGCCCCGGCCGTTTGCAAGGGGCCCCCAACTGCCTTTCACGCATACCCATACCCATTGACCCTGTTCCCTAGCATCAACAACAAGTGTCTTCACTTCGAGCAATCCCCTTCAAAATCTGCCACGCGTACCTGTCGTTGACTTTTGGTGGAAACAAATGGCGCAAGATTCGAAAACGCATGTCCGTCCTTGGCCTCCCGCACCTTCTCCACAGCGGAGTTTGCCGCCTCCTGGGCCCCATCAGGAACAGATTTCCAAATCAAAGTTCCCAAATCAAATGAAGCTGTTGGGGCTCCTTCAAGTGGTTGAAGGTTGATTCATTGAACCTGGATTTCCTGGGCTACCGTAAAACCAACACCACTTTAAGCGGGGAGCCCCGTCCTTCTCGCCTTCCGACCCCCGCAGCCGGTCTGGGTGCAGCTTCCGCATGAGGCAGCGGTAGGCACTCTGCACCGCGGGCACCTCCTGAAGGGCCGACGAAGGGCCACCCAGGGCCGAGGTGGGACTTGGAAGATTAGAGGTGGGACGTTTTGAGCGCTTGGAGGGTTTGTATTGTAGTGGTTTGGATTGGAATTTGGGCGTCTTAAAAAAGACGGGCCTTTAGAAAAGTCACTCTCAAGGCGGCACCCTCAAAGGGAAAGCCGCCACCGGACAACTTCACGCTGGAAGGGTCTGTGGCTGCAAGTCAAGAAGCTTGGATCAAGCCTGGGAAACACAGGAAAGGAAGAGGTTGATTGGAGGGCAAGTCATTGTTGCAAGCCCATCTGCAGAGCGACCACCCAAACTCCAGGCAAATGCCTAGAGCATGGGGCCGAACCCTTTGTGGCTTAGTTCTAAAAAGAGCAGAAGCCAAAGGTTTGAAGAATGATCATCCAGAGTTGATACATCCAACTCACTTGGCCGGCTCGCTGAGCTTGGGCACTGATCCCAATTCCACCTGATTGTGTTGAATGGTTTTCAACGGAAACAGTATTCAAATCCCACAGCTTTAGGGCGGGACGGTCCTTGGTGGCAGGGGGAAGCCCCAGGACTGCAAAGCCCCAAGACATCGGGCTTGGGAAGGAGTCCCTCCGCAGCAGCATAATGCGGCCTGCTTCACGCTTGGCATCCTGCTCGCGGTCAGGTGCAGGCTGTGCAGACTGTGCAGGCTGTGCAGGCTGTGCAGGCTGTGCAGCCGGTGGAGGTGCAGCGGGTGCTGGATGCGCAGTGGGTGCCTGAGGTGCAGCGGGTGCCGGAGGCGCAGAGGGCGCGGCCGCGGGCCGAGCGCCTCGTGGCCGTGTCAAATATCTCGCGCACTCCTCCACGGTCGCAAAGCGTTGGCCCTCGAGCTCGCAGCGCGCCTGCAGCTCGGGCAAGGGCCGCTTGCGGCACTTGTCGAAGTTCTCCCACACGGCCCGCAGCTCGGCCTTCTCCAGGCACTGGGCATCCAAGCCGTGCGCCTCCAGCCGAGCCTTCAGCGCTTGGACGCTGAGCGTGGTCAGCTCGGGGGAAGGCGTTGCTTTCTGCGGGTTGGCGCTTTTCGCCAGCCGCGGGTTCTTTTTGCCTGCCTCCGCCTTCGCGTCCGCCTTGCGCTTGCCCGGCTTGGCCTTTTTCGGCGCGGAAGCGCCCACCTTCAGCCCCGTCGGCCCCTTTGGCGCGTCCGGCGCGCTACGACTTCGCCACGTGGCCAAGGCCTCCCGCAGCACAGGCGCCGGGAAGTCAAGGCCGGCCGCCACCACGCCTAGGCCTCTGACTACCCGGTCCTGGACCTCCACCTCCCGCGAGGCGGTTTTGGACAGCAACTTCACTACCAGCTCGACTTGCAGCAAATGGCTCAAACTGGAAGCCGCCATGTGAAGCCAGTGCAAGGCACGGTCATCTTGAGCCAGGCTCAGTCTGGGGACCGATGTTTGAGCATTAAATGCACTCCTCAACTCATGGTCTCCGTGGCCTCCTTCCTTGAGGCGCTATGGGGTTTGCCAACACAAGCAAATTTAACCTGGAGTTTGCAAGCAAGCCAACCACAAGTGTATGGTACATCCCCGACACGTTAAAACAATTGTGGGACACATGGATCGCGTGATCTCCAAGCGCTTGTGCGTTCTCGCATAGATCCTCAAGTTGAAGGCATTTGGGGCAGCGACTGTAATCCCGAAAGAAGCTTAAGCTAAAACCCTTGTTTGACGCAACGAAAATCTGACCCTTGCCGGTTTGATGCCCCACCCTAGCTGAAGACCCTAAACCAATACAGGGAAGGCGCACAGCCCCAAGCTTGGCTCGCATCTCTGGGCGCCAGGCGTGGCCCTCTAAAAGCCCCTTCACCGCCGCGGAGATATCTGCCCGCACCTTTGCAACAAGCGGCTTCTGACAAAAAACTTCCCAAAGAGGCTCCTGAAAGAAACTCGCGAAGCGAGTTTCTGGTTGACGTTGAGCTGGCCCAGTTGCCAGAGTGTTCTGCAATTTCCGGAGTCGGTGAGTGAGCATCCCAGGGAACCTTTTCCAAGTCCAGGGCTCTGATTTACAAAGCTTCCGACCAACTTCGTCCGACGGCCGGGGGCGCCTTCTCAGAGCACCGGCGGCAATCCCGGCGGTTCTCCTGGGCACAAGGTAGCCATGGGGAAAGGGAAGATCTGAAGCGTCAACTTTTGTGGTGGCAGCGGGGAACCGGTTGGTTGGCTGCTTTCTGAGTTGACTTACCGACATGGTCCTCCAAGTCGACCAGTGGGCAAAGAACATAGTCTATGCCTATGCGCCCCGGAAGTATGTAGGTTTCAGCTGGGAAGGGGTCTTTTTAGGTCACCAACACTCCAACACTGGCGCCCTTAGTTTCATGCTCAGTGTCATGCCTAGTTTCTAGTTTCACAAGGAAACAAGTTTTGCGCAACCCTGACAAATGCAGGGGTTCAAATCCGCGCTCAAGCAAACAGCTTGCCAAACAAACAACACAACACTCAGGAGGCAGGCAGGCTATGTGCTACAAATTATTTCCAGTCATTGCTTTTGGGCCTCATCGCACGAACTACATTTGAATTCCTAATTCAAGCAGTCGCCACAGATCAATGGTTTGCTTGTTCTTGTGTTTAAGGAAGTTGGCAATCAATAGTTGACTACGCAACTGTCCAAATAAAGCGTTCATTGGCTCCAGAACTATTCAGTGGGTAAGGTCACAATTCCAATTCCTGAAGAACCAAGAAAAAAAGCTCGATCGGCCGCAGGCCTTGTAGTGCTCCAGCAAGGCACTCACGGCCTTGTCTTCTATCCGCAGGGGGGCGTAGCGCTCCTTGTGCTCTGCCCTTAGCAACTGGGATGACCGCCACTGAGCTGAGATACCCAACAGAAAGTCCACTTACGGGTCCCATGCATGGACTGCAGGCTATCCAGCACTCACTCTCCGGTAGGTGCCGAAGAGTGCTTCTTTCCACATCCATGAACCGCAATGCAAAGCTACGCATTACTTCAGGCCCTGTCACATCGGCAGTGGGGGACTTGGCACATCGATTGTGAATCGCAAGCAAACTTATGATCAAACAGTTCAAAGGCTCCAAAGAGAATCGTGGAGCATGTGCAACCAATCTCTTTCCTCCTGTTTGCTGAAAAGCCGGGGTGTTTGTTCTCGACTGCAGACCTTGGAAGGTTCCTGCATCTGAGGCCTGATGGCTGGCACGTTTCATGTGTGTGCGCTCCACATCCGATTTGCCAAAAAGGGGCCTTGGGGCAGAGTAAGTTCGTCAAGTGTCTGTCAAAACTTCAAGGACCCCTTTTGGTATAGGTGTGATGGCACGGCCATCAACGAAAGCTCCCCAAATTCGAGCGGTTTCTTCAAGACATGGCCATGGGTCAAAAGACAAATCGTACCCCCAGTGAACATCCCAATCCCCACTAAAATAGGTTCTAAAATGGGTACCCCAAATTGGGATCTCATTAGTTTTGACCCACAGCCATATAGACACAGGTTCTCTGTTGGACGGCTGGCTGACAACCCAAAGCCCATCTAGGACTCCGCGCTCCAGAGACAGGTGGAGCTCATAGAGCTGGCACAATGCGTCCGCTGGGACCTTCTGCGTCTCCCGCAGCACCTGCCCCGCAAGGCCCAGGACCCAAAAAGGTGCGTCTCTTTGTACTGTTCTGGCTGGAAACTGGAAGTTGACTCCCAAAAAGGGACCTCTGAAATCAGACCTAGCACGTCCGCCCCCCCACTCACCCCCCCCGGCCCCCGTAGGTATCCAATGGAGGGAGGGGATACACATAATATCATATTGTGTACAGGTTTCACATCCCTCCCGTTGCCTGGAACATGAGCTGCAGCAGCTCGTGGTGATAGGCTTCCAGCAGCGCAAAGGTCCAGCAGATCTCCACCAGGTCCTCACGGGCCGAGTGGCTTGTCTTCGGTTTTCAGGACGCGTTTAGGTCGAGGAAGCGCCTTGATTTTGGTTGAGAGAGGATTTGGGGTTTGGTTTGCAGGGGGTGCGAGAACGAATGGCCCTTTCGGGGGTGGCTGCTAAGGCCGCAGGGAAACTACTCATTTTGAAGATTACCCACCGATGCAGTGGAGTGCATGAAGGAATTGGGGCAGAAATATCTTGGATAGGTTTGGCTTCTGCATTAGGTTGGGCCCATTGTTTGCCGACCCTACCGATTCAATGAGTTCTACATGTTGACTTGCGACCACATCTGGCGGCAGTCAAAGCTTCGAGTTGGAGGTGGACACCCTCCAAACGTCTCTCTGTGTGTGTGTCTTGTGTCTTGTTCTTGTGCTCGTGCCTGCGTTTGTGTGTGTGTGTTGGTGTTTGGACAGGATCCACCACTCACCAACTCACCAACTCTACGCCAAGGGCAGACATCCCCCCACGCGTCCCGTCCGCCCCAAAGGGAGTCCTCGCAGCGGAACCCCGAGTTGCTCTTGGCCCAGCGGCCCAGCACATCCTCCGCCACGGCCTGCAAGCGGGGGTGCAGATTGAGACGCCAGCCAGCCAGGGGATTGGACTTGTTTGGCTGCGCTTTTGACACTGCTAAGGTGGGAATTAAGGAACCCCCATGCTCCCCAATGGGGGGGAGGGGGGGGGGGTTCAGTAGACCTTCCATTAAAGCCCTGTTTCGGGCCACCAACATCAGTCGCCGGATGGCTCTGTCAAGCTTGTTGCCATGGGAACGGTGTTTTTGTTCTTTTGATGCACATTACCCAAGAGAGGCAGACAGAATGAGCAAACAAGAGCTGCTGATAATTGTGCTTCTGCATTGCAAAGCAGCAAGGGGTGGTATGAATTTGGCAGGTGGATGAAGAGACAGACCGAAAGACGGCCTTCACAAACTCCTGTACGTGGGTTCTTCAGATGAATTAGGTGCCAAACAACGCTGCATCATTGAGGTTGATAGATCGAGATGTGGGCTGATTGATTCACAAGCTCAATAGAGGGTGGCGCAAACTCAGCTGCGATCCCATATGTGAGATTGCTGATTCTGTACAGTGTATCCGTTTGATTGACATGCACCCATCTTCGGGTCTGTGGCTCGTTTTCCTCGGCCCAGCTATATGCTAGGTGGATATAATCAAATATATACAAGGTTCCGAAGTTCCAGCCAGGTTTGAGTTCAGGGAAGCCCAACTTAGCATGGAACCCACAAGCCACACGCCCTCTTTTTGGAGAGAAGACTCCTTTTGGATGATGCCCCTTTTGCTGCTCCATGGTGTTTAACTCATTTGCAGGGGAATATGCAATCCTGTGCACCCAGAGATACTTCCAGACCAAGTCCAGCGCAAGTCAGGCATGCCACATCTGCCACATCTGCTACATCTGCTACTGCTTGTCTTCTCAAGTCGCTTCCATGGAGCCGGGGGAGACGAGGGAGCCCGAGCCTGGCAGAAGGCCTCGTTCTTCACCCCGCACCGTGCCAGCGAGCGCACGCAACGCAGCAGCTCCTGGGAAGATTCGGCGGGGTGGGGCCTCACAACCTTCGCGTAGGGGTTGATAAGCCCCGAAAAACCGAAAATTGCCACTGGGCGGGGCGCCCGTTGGGTGTGGGGTTGGGATTCGTGTGGGCGGCTCGACGGTTGGTGAAGTGGCCAACATGAGGCTTGGGGGGGTAGGTGGCGCTTCTAGCCGAAACCATAAGCTGAGGATGCACGTCCTTACAAAACAAGTCGACCTGGCATTTGGCGAGCTCATGCGAGCTCTCATTTCCTTGCTGGCAAGCCTTCCTGGTGAAACAAACGCCGGAAACTGCCCTTGCCCCGTTCGTGGGATTGCAACAAGAGTTCCGGTCTGGGCCAACAGAAACCAACTTGACGCTGAAAGCCAATAAATGCCAGGGGTTCAAGTATGATCTCATGTCAAATCCGCAAGTACTTTGCATGCAGCAGTTTGGCCACGTTTGCCTTCATTCCGAGGCAAATCTTGTGCATACATGATTTCGTTGTTGTCCCTCGCCGACCATGTCTCTGGAGCCTCGCAGCAGAACAAGCTGACACCTATTGCCCCGCCGGTGATCATGGCATTGGCTCTCGCAGCCACTGCAATAGCGCCTGGGGCGCAAACTCCGTCGTTGCCCGGCTTCGTAGCCACTGCCATGGCGAAGTAGTAGGCACCACCAGGCAGAGGGGAAAGTGCTTGCGAGAGATGCTCCAGGCATAAACTCTTCTCCAGCTGAGTTTTGGACTGTGGGCAACTTTCCGAAGTTGCACGGAAGAGGAGATGGCACGGCCACCAAACAGAGACTTCCCCAGCCCCGACAATGCACTCCCCGAGGTTCGTCCAGGAGGATTCCGCGAACTTCTCTACAAAGCGGGGCGCTGTATTGCAGCCAATGATAAGTGACACCAGTTGCCACGTCTCTTTGTTTAAGATATATATATATATATGGGTTGTACCCCCATTCCAGTTGCCACGGTGACAAGGATTCCCCATGGTTTGCAGGCTCGCAGGCGGAATATTGAGTGGTGACCAGGCTGCGTAAGTGGTGACAAGCTGAGGAGTCACAGGACAAACAAGTTTCCAGGACTAAGTCAGGAACTAAGACAGGAGTCGACAGGGCGGCTTAGTGGAGGTTGGTTGAAGACTGATCTGTCAGAGCACCAATCACGGGGGAAGGATTGATCATTCTTGCCTTGCTCTCGAAGAATGGACGTATGAAGCTCGGGGGCAGGTCCTACGTTTCGTAAAATAGAGAAACTCGCCCGCTCGGCAACGTCTAAGCTAACCCTTCCAAGTGGCGTTCCCTTGAGCTTCCCCTCGTGAAAGCGCGGGGTCTATCTTCGTTCAGGAACCAGCCATCCACCGCCTAAAGACACCCCTTTTGACTACACGAACGGCCCGAGCGCCGAGCGCCTGTGGCCGCAGCTCCCGCACCCGCGTGGAGATAAACTGGGCCGCGGAGGTGAAGAGGTCCACGTGCACCAGCCGCACCTCTCTCGTCCATCCCTCACTTTATGCGGCCACTTTGCCAGGCAAAAGGCCGCTTTGTTTCTTTTCTGGCAGAATGGGTACCGGAAAAGTGTTGCCAAACTCCGGGACATCAGCAGAATCACATTTGAAGTCACAACTACTTGAACACTGGCGCACCTGATCCTCTCATGCCAAGCAAATGCTGCCGGGTCACCATCATTGCTACTCACCTCTGAAGTGAAACTGTTCTGTAGCCTCTAATCGGGCAGAACTGTGATATGTATATATAGTGATCTTGTGTCGCAAATCGAATGAAAAACGTTTGCCTTGCATATCAAGGAATAGAGAGGTGTTCCCAACCGAACGCGGCCTGCCTCTGAGAGGATGGCCAGCAGCGAAGTGAGCTCCTTGGGTCCGAAGGTCTTGTGCCTCGCCTAAGCGGGAAGCGCTCGCGCGCTCGTCTGACGTTCCTTTGGTTCCCGGTTTGGTTCCGTTCAGAATTGACTGCCTTACATGGGACGGCACCCTCCGATGGCCCAAGAATGACCTACCAGATGACCCAGCCAAGATCACACCACCAAGCAGGCACGCCGATTCATTGTCATTCCATCTCAACCCACCGGAAAACGGCGTTGAAGCTCACATGGAAGAAGCTCCAACTCCCCCAAGCAGATGTCGCCAACTAGCCCGTTTTTTTTTTCACCCCCAGCATCACCAGCTTTTCAGTCAAGAAAACGTGGTTCCGCTTCCCAAAGCAGACGCCACTCTCCGTGGACGTCACCCCCCAGCCTGGGCGGACTTGCCCACGGCCACGAAGAACTTGTGGTCCGTGCAGCCCAACGACACCAGGCCCGCCAGGCAGCAGTTCAGCTCATGGGGCGCCAGCTCCATGAGCCTTGTAGGCACCTGGCCATGGGCTTCTGAAAAAATCCAAATCGGTGAGCGCCCCCAGCGAACGGGACCCCATCCAAGCACCAAAATGGGTTCCAAAATGGGGTGGTGAATTCACCTACCCCAAGATGGTACCGTTGGTCTTGACCCACAGCCACCTGGCAGCGCAAGAGGTGGAAAGCCAGGAGTTGTAACCACTCGGCAAACGCCAGCCGCGTGCCAAATCCACAAGGACCTACTACTGAGAATGTCCAGTGCTGACCTTGAACTTCTTAGGTGTTGGATCTTGCTAGTCCTGTAAAGCACCGACTCCTGAGGTTTATAATAAAAAGTGACTTGTTGTGCCTTTGTTCCGTCCATTTTGTTGGGAGCTCTTCCTCTGCTGTCAAGCAAACATCGTGAACATGTCTGGGTGGAACTCTCATTTGAGTTGGAACATTCAACCATCTCTCAGGCCATCTCACACATCTAATAGGATTAGGCTAGGGCAACCGGACCGCCCCGCCCCGCCAAAGCACCCCAAAAACAAACCCAGGTGTTCAAAGGGGAAGCCAATGCAAACTCGCAAGCATTTGTCAAACGAATTCACTTGGGAACAGGCACTAAGTTCGAACACAAATTGTTGGACGCTTGCAAATTCCCTTGTTTATGATCGTAGCGCCCCTTCTCTTCCGTGCTCTGAGGGATGTGGGCATCATCCTACCAGCAATACATACATATTGGTCATTCCAAAACTTCCCCGCAACCTAACATGGAACCGAAATCCGGCGTCTTTTCCCAAGAAGACACTCCTCACAGCAGTTGTTGGGAGGGTCTGTGTATAAATCTGCTTGCAGATCAGCTTGCCTGTGATCAGTAGGGAACGAGGGAAGGACCCCAGGCTTCGGTCCCCTTAAAGGAAGCAACAAGGGATTAAGGTCATTCCCTACAAGGCAACAGGGAATGATTCCCAAGGAAACACAAGGTCATTCCAATTCTCATTCCCTGATCACCAGCCCATTGAACCCATCTGTCCCCTCTTTTCGGAATTCAACAAGGGATGGTTCAAATCGGGGTCATTCCAACTTATTCACCAGCAGCACCATAGGGTCATTCCAACTCATAGGGTTCATAGGGGTCATGAGCACCAGCAGATTGTCAGAAGCTGCCGCCGCGTCCGTCGCTTGCCTCTGCGGCGGCCACCGCCAGGAAGTCCCTGCTGCAGTCGATGAAGCGCTGCCGGCCCTGGCGAGCCAAACGCGATCCAAGCGTCGGGGTGAAACCCTTCGGGAAACGTGGCCTGGCTGTGGGCCAAAACCCAAATCGTACCCCTGGTGAACATCCCAATCCCCACCAAAATAGGTTCTAAAATGGGGTGGTGAATTCACCTATTCCAAAATGGAGCCATAGGTTCTGCCCCATTTCCATCTGAAAGGGCGAAGGAAAGATGGGCAATCAAGAAAGTGGCCAGTCAGCTTCGGAAACCTTTGAGAAGCGGTTTGTTCATGGTCCGATGACCATGTACCTTGATGTTGGAAACCCTCCCGAAATTCAAAAGAGGAAACACGGGTGCTACTAAGCTACTGTGCCACTAAGACTGTCAAGAAAACCAACATCCTGTCGAGCAACATACAACCAGGGACCTTCTGGTGGGTGCACCAGCCACCTCCAACCACAAACAAAACCAAAACTCTGATGGCATGCGGCAACTTGCAGGGTGTCCACACTTGTTCCCACGCACTCAGCTTGTGCCTGACAAAAAATCAGGTTGATCCACTGTACGCACTCACCGCGCACTTCGGCCTCGGGAGCCCAGTAGAGGAAGGCGCTCATGGCAATCGCCAACTGCGGCGAGGTGGCGGACTTCAGCTTGTGCCCCAGCATGGAGCCCAGCTCGGTGTAGAAGTCCTGCAAAGCTGCCCAAAACGGCAAAGGCTTAAGTTTTCTGTGTTTTGGGTCCCGCCCCCAAAAAAAGGAGCGCCCAAAGGCAAAGACTCGGTTTCTTTGTGCTTTTTTCCCAACAGCTGAAAGCTTTGGGGTCTCAGCCCAGATAGGCTCCGGGGTGGTCCGGGGAAGCCCTGAGGTAAGGTTCCACGAGGGTTCCACCAGGGTTCCACCAGGGTTCCACCAGAGTTTCAGCAAGGTTCCACCAGGGTTCCACGAGCTTCTGCGAGGGCTGTGGGGTGGTGCGAGCACAAAAAAGAGCTCCGCAGGCTGTTGGGGATATCACCTGAGCTTATTTTCTTTTGAAGGGATCCCGCCCCAAAAAAAAGAGAGCCAGTTGCCGCCGGACGTTTCTTTCCATCGCCCTGCCTTGGGATACGACGCCGCCTTTGCTTCCATGAGCTTGACGAGCTCTGCGATCTGCTCGACGCTGAGCTGGGCGAACTTCTTGAGGAACTCCCGGCTGACCTCCTCACGGGCTGGCTGTAGCCGGGTCTTCCACGGGTGTGGCGTTCTTTCAGGCCGGGCCGGCTGTCTGAAAAGGATGGGCAGCATCTGAAAAACCATTGCATCTCTGTGAGATCTGCCCCACACAATTGCCAACAAACAAGAGAAAGTCCACAGCTCAACCAAATTTGGCCTCATCCCGAAAATTTGCATCCATTGCACCCCCTCTCCTCGATCTCGGATCTGCTGGTCGCCGTGCGGATGCTCTCTTGCAAGGGCTCCCAGTCCGCATCCGCCAGGCCGCTCAAGGCCGCTCCGCCCTTCGACGGCTGGACGAAGGGCAGCTGGAAGCTGGGCGTGGGGCCAGAGCCCGTTCCGGTGGCCGACAAGGCCTGGCCGGTTCTCACCAGTTGGTCAGTGCTGAAATGGCCGTGGGTCAAAATAGCTACCGAAAATGGAACCCTGGCCCCCGCCTGTTTAATTTTGAGCCACACCCAAATGGAAATCCTCGTTAGAAATGGCAACATGACACTGGTGCTGCTTTGGTAGAGATCCTGGTAGACATGATTGTGCTGGGTGTGTGCCAAGAATAGGGGCGCTTTTACTATTTGGTGTTGCCATGTGCTAAAGCTGTGCGCAAAGGGTCCGATTCGTTCTGTTCGTTCCGACTGACGCAAAGCCGGAAGTTGGCCAAAGTGACTCGAACCAAGTTGGGTCTCTCCAAATTGGTGGTGCCCCCTTTTCAACCCACCTGAGAATCCAGCAAGGGGTGTTCCTTCCTTCTTCTGCTCGAGACTTCTTCCCCGTTCAAAGTCAGCGTCGACAAGGATCATTGTACTGTTGTGCGAATGAGAATCTTTCGGGCTTATCGCCAATCTTCAGCATTCCAAGTAGTTAGTACGTCCTTTCCCTTTCTTTCTCCTTCCCCCTTTTGACACAGCCCGTTCGCCAACCCAGTTGGATCGCCAATCGACGGCTTCGGCCTGCTTGGCCCCCTGCACGTTGCCCTGCCAGGGATGCGCCAGTCAGGTGAGTCAGGCCTACCAGTTTCAGCATGCTTGACCGCGTGTTGCTTTCAACCCTCTCATTTGAGCAGCGCCTCAAACAAATAACTTTCGGCTGCAGCATAGAGGCTCATGTAGGCATGACTTTAACCCTTATGGAACCAGAAACTCGAACTCCATGCCAAAAGTATGCGTCTGCCTTACGATGTTTTGCCCTGACAAAAACCCGCAGTTTGAACAAACCCGCCGAGAAGGTTTCACGTTGGGTCAGGCCGCGGGTCGCAGCGCCTGCAACCTGGCGAGCATCTTCTGCACCGAGTCGTTGTCCCGCTGGGCGGGCGCGGCCGACTGCAGGGTGAACCCGGAGAAGCCCATGGCCTGCGGCCAAGTAGCCAAGTCCCGCCTTGGGGTAGTCTGGTGACCCCTGATCCGATCACAAATGGGGGGGAGCAAATTGTACTTAAACGGGAACACATCTTGGGTTGAGGCCACGCAACTTGGAAAGAACATATCTGCCAGCGTGACCAGGCGTCGCCTTATTTTGGTGCCGCCTGGTACGTGCTCTGGGGCCACACAGAGTGCCCACGCCATGTTGGTCAAACAACATGTGTCGATCCTGTGACATTCTGGGTTTCGTGTCACCAACTTTCGCAGAGCACGCCTTGGGCGTCGCCTTGGGCACCTGCATCGGCTGCATCGGCTGCATGGGCTGCATGGGTTGCATCGGCTGCATCGGTTGCATCGGCATCGGCTGCATCGGCTCGGGCATGGTATGCGCCAGCGGGGCCGCTTGGCCGGCGGCCAGACGCTTCAGAACCTCCAAGTCGAAGGCCGGCGGCGCGGCCGCGGTGCCCGCAGGCGGTGGAGGAGGGGGCGGCGACACGCCCGGCACCCCCATGCCAGGAACATGCATCCCTGGCGGCAGCTGTGCTTGCTGCGCCTGCTGTGCTTGGGCGATCTGTGCCGCCTGCGCTGCCTGCGCCGCTTGCGCTGCCTGTGCCGCTTGTGCTGCCTGGGCCGCCTGCGCTGCCTGGGCCTGCGCCGCCTGTGCCTTGGCCTGCGCCTGGGCGGCTGCTGCTTGCTGCGCCTGCTGTTGCTGCACTTGCTGCGCCGCTTGGGCTGCCTGCGCTGCCTGGGCTGCCTTGGCCTGGGCCGCCTCTTGTGCTGCCTGCGCAGCTTGCTGCGCCACGACGGCTTGAACCGCTGCCACCTCACAGGATGGCACGAGATTGAGTGCAGTGAAGGCTCTTGACTCTTGATCGAGCAGGATCAAATCCGAACGACGCTGTCTGTCTCTCATACGGAGCCCCGCCTCTTGTGCTGCCTTGTCGTGCGCTTCCTTTTGTTGAGCTTCCTGCTCCTCCACTTCAGCATTCTTTGCCGCCTGCCGGATAGGCACAAGCTATAATCTGCGGGTGTTGTCCAACCTTGTTTGTTCTCCCGAACGATTTGTTCAACACAAAGGGTTCTTTCGGCAAAGGTAAAGACGGTGACCTGTAAAGAGAAACCAAATGAACAAGTCCGATTGTGGACACCACCTGTGTACCAGTACATGGATGCTGTCGGATGATCAAAGCTGCCATCCAATGGAACATAGTTCTACATATGTGTGTATACATATATATATATATATACCGATTGCCTCAATAACTTGTCCAAGCATGTTTCGAAAAGGCCCACTAATCACCGGATACTGCACGGATCACCTGAAAGACCCGAAGACCAACCTAGCCGGGAAATGACTTGCTGCCCCACAAATCAGAGAGAACCGTTTGTTGTTCCATGTCCTCTCAACTTGCCATAATGTCTTACTGTTTTTGTTTCTTCAACAAAGGAGTAAGGCATCCAAACGGGGCTCCAATGGGTGTTGTTCAGGGCCCACCTGCTCGGCCAGTCGTTTCAGCGCATCCTTGTCGAATGCCGCCGCTTTGGGGGCCTCCTGCGAAGCGCGCGGCAAAAGTGCGAGCAACGCGATATTTGTAGTAAAACAAATTGGAAATCTGTAACTGTGGATGACGCCTCACTTCTGGAAACAGGTGGCAGAGACTTTATTTGTGTAGTATAACCTGCCCCTCCAAATGGCCATCTCAGTCTCCTGAAAACCTGAAAAAGGACCAGGTTGACCCAGGGATTCCTGCCAAGCTTCCCCCAACACCCACGGAAACTCACTTGTGATTTTGGCAAAGGGTAATTTCTGCCAATAGACTTTAGACAATTTGGACATCTTTGGACCAGGGATTGCCTTGTAAATGGTGGGTTCCTTTATGTTGGTGGAAAAAGCCATGTTTCCAATGGGCAAAATGGAGATCTTTTCAGGAGCCCCGTTGAGCTGCTCCGAAGAGCGAGGTCGTTTCTCGACATTCGACCGATGGCTCCAACCTGGGCTGCCGCTGCTGCCTCATCGCCTGCAAAGGCACCGAATCTACCAAGGTAGATCGGCTTACATTGGGGCTGTCCGAAATGTAGGGAACCCCATTTGGGTATGGGTCAAAATGAGGCCACCAGGGGAACGCAGGTGTTAGTCAATGTTTTCATTTACCGGGGTTCCAATTTGGGTACCTACTTTTGACCCACGGCCATTTGTTATGGAAGTCCTAAAATTTAAGACACCTGAAACCGTATGCTATAATTCATACAACCCCGTACAAAAATTGGCCAGCGCACGTTTCGGGCACCGCTGATTGAGCGATGGACAACACTACTTACTAGTTCGCACCTGTCTTGTAGAGGAAATTGAGGGGGATTGGGCTCCGTCTCCACATGTCCTAACCAAGTGAATCGTAGACTACCACTTCTTTTGCCGGTTGCTCGCTTCAAGAGAAGCATGATTCCATCGCGTGCTGGTGAGGTGGCATTGCTTGGGTCTTGTTTCAGCTCTTGAATCAGCATCACTCCTGACGAGACGTCCCAAATCGGCAGGTGTTGCAAAGGGGCCGGCTATCCTTTCTACTCGCGCGTTTGGCTGTCTTTGACTATATCCCCCTTAAGGGCAACACAGGAGGAAGCGAAAAAGTATCCAAAACCGCACCTCGCCCCACCCCGCCCCACCCCCCGGAGAAAAAAATAGAAAAATCTTGGCGGAGCCTCCCTTCTGGGCGACTGCTCCGTATTGAGACCACCACCGTGCGTAGTACCTAGCGCATGTAGGTGACATGAGGCCTTGGCATCTGCCGGCTCCAGGCTCCACCGGCCACGAACAGGCACGCGAATCGGGGGGCGTTTGGCCCCATGACCTAAACCCAGTTGGAGAGATGGCCAAAGGAAACCCGTCTGTTCTCAAGCGCTGACTCCTATACCTTACCAATCGTGAGCTAAGACTGATAAGACCAATGCCTCCCTGGTTCCGTTGCACGGATCCATTGAGGGCACTCATTGAGATCGGTGCCCTGCAGTGCTGCAGCCTTGCAGAAGCGACTCGATTTCAGGGCCACACGGCACGAGATTCAGCGTTTCTGGGCCCAATCCGATGGCAAATGTATTGTTCACAGCCTTGTGTATCTGGCAGGAATCAACCCCCCCCCGATTCCTGGAATGAGCAACCCGGAAAAAGTTGACTGGCCAAAGACAGGACAAACACAGTTTGACACAAGCTGAAGCAGAATGTTGGCCCCCACAAGTTTTGGAGTTGAGTTGAAACTCTCAAGAAATCAAAAGCGAAGGCGGGCAATTGGAGATTTTACGCATGTGCATTAAAGAGCATGCTGCGTGCAAAAAAGAAACTATATCTATGCACATATACAAATGGTATTTGTGTACCTGTGCAATTAAAATCCCATCTGTGACAAGAATCATAGTGTCACACAACTATATATATATAGAGATATGTCTCACAACTATGAACATATATATATATATATATGTATCATATACTCACAATGAGCCCTGGGACCAACTCGACACCCTGGGCCACCGAGCGTGAGCTGCCGCACTGGTGTCCAGGCCGGCCTTGGTGTTGGCTGTCCGGTCTTGCATTTGTCGCGCATTGTAAGCTGCTTCGCTTCCGTGGCTTTGCTGAATCGTGCGCGGCTTAGCTGATTGTTTAGGTTTGAACACTGAACGTTCGTGTATGGATTCGGCTTGGTTCCTTGTTGTACTTGGAGCATGGCCGAACCTCCAGACAAGGAGGGCGCGAAGCCTTCCGAGGTTGAGTTTTGGCGGCTAAGTAGCCATAGCGTGATCTGGGTATGGGTCAAAATTAAACCACCAGGATATGGACCGCAGGTTAAATCGTCCATGTTTCCATTTGCCAGGGCAAGACATTTTGGGGTTACCAACTATTTTTGCCCAGCATGATCTGCAGATCCGCTAGGCCCCCGTGCCAGAGCAGGTAGGCTCTGCGGCGCGGTCAGGCTCGCCAAAGGGCTCGGGGTCTTAGGCCACGGTGCGCGGGGCTCGCCCCGGAGTCGACCGGGAGGTGACCCGAGCTCCATGCTGAAATACCGGTTTGATCTGGGGTCTCCTTAGCTAAGGGGAATAGGCCCCTCAATACATTTCTCACGGGTCCCATGGTTCCCGACAAGCGATGCTTTTCAAATTGTGGGTTTGATCGTGTTGGCGGATCGTTTTGGTGTCAGTCTATGGTCTTTTGACAAGTTGGGAAGTCGTTGAAAGTTCCAGAGCCCTTCTATCAGCTTCCATGTTTGGAGGAAAATTCTCAAAATGAGCAACAAACCATATAGCCTTGAAAAGAAAAGCAAATAATATGCAGATCCATGGACCTGACAGGTTTCATGCCCGCGGTATGAACTCGAAGGGTTCGTGCCACGGGGGCATACCAAGCGCCCACATTCACATACTGAGGCCAGCCACGCCCAGCGGGGGCCCAGTGCCACCTGGAAGACCTAAACACGGGCTGCGATCGCTTGAGGTTGCTTCTGTTGCAGAAATGGTTGTGGGTCAAAACCAATGGTACCATATCGGGGTAGGTGCACCACCCATTTTAGTCTATTTTAGTGGGGATTGGGATGTTCATTGGGGGTATGGGCTTTTGACCAATGTCCAAATGAGTGTCCCCCTTGCCATGAATAGTGGCCATCGCGCCATTGCGCATGTCAGATCCAACATGACCCAACTACATCTTCCCCATGAAGCAAGTGTCCACACCTCGCATTCTGCCAAAAAACGATCTTAATCCGTTCCCCCCCCCCCCCAAAACACAGGCACCAAGATCGGCCGTAGCCATGTGGCTTTGGCAACCCGCAAAAAGGGGTGGGTTTTCCGCAACTCGGCCGGATCCCTGCTGCCGAGGCGGCTGAGGCCGGCGAGGCCTGCTCCCAGGTTCAGCCCCTGGCGACAAGTCACATCCCGATGCATTCCTTGCCCTACGTTCCAATGACGCAAGGGAAACAAAATGGCCCACTTGAAGTTTGCTTGGAGTTGAAAAACAAAGCCGCCAAAGGGGAAAAGGCGAGACGCTGGATGACTAGGTGCCCATGATCCCTCACTTTCTCCTCTTGGAGTGAGGTCGTTTAGGGGGTCACTGTAAGTACCACCTTTCTAGTCCGTGCAGGTCGTGGATCGCATATGGCTAGAAGGATGCCTAATAGCTCCGTTTACCAAGTCAAGTTTTGAAGCAGGACTTCTGACGGCCCCTGCAAGAACAAGCGGCCACTGGCTGATCACACAAGCCACGTTCAAGGTGCGGTTTTGTTGATCGGAAGGCACATCACCACTCTGCAACGGTGTGACGGTTGTGTTCAGTTGGCGGAAGACATGTTCTCGCGAGGCCCCATAGGCGAACTGAATCAAACTGAAGGCCATGCTCGACGCACAGAAGTTGAGTGTACGTCAAGGGCCCTCCCCTCCCCTCCCCGCCGGAGGCAGGGCCAGCGCGGGCGCGGTGGCCTGCAGCTCACGGATGGCCGCGCCATGAAGCGGCCCGAGCGAGGAACACGCTCGCAATGCCACGGGCGTGGGGCCATCTGTTGAAACCTATGTGGACCCTGGTTGAACCAGACCCTATCCAGATGCCTGACCCAAGTACTTCATGCGCCTGTTAGATTGTCCGATGGTCAATGGACATCTTAATAAATCTTCACATTGGGGCTACGTCTGCAAGTATGAGGTCGCTGAGACTCTCAGGGATAGCAAAACAATTCTCCGACCCAACGTGCCCTTTTACTGCCTGTGCCACCGGCAACAACACATTGCCAGTCACGACCCTCTAAACCCTCTGAGTGAGCATACCACATCGCCTTACACAAACCCGCGGACGAAAGAGCAAACAAATATGTCCAGGATATATATCAAGGCATCTGATCAAGTTGGGCTCATCCCATTCGCAGCGATTTCTGCCATCGGCGGCTTCCTTCGGGTTCCTCGATATGATACAAACATCATACAGGTTGCCTGCCCGATGTCACACGGTTCTCCAAAAAGAAACCAAGCGTTGGCTTCAACTCCCGGATGGCTCGAAGAGCTCCAATCACCTGCCCCGAACTTTGTCATCTCAAGTGGTCTGAAGTTCCAACCCCTTTGGGTCTTCAATGCGCGGGCACCCTGTGCCTGGCTCAGTGGCCCAAGGTTTGACACCTGAGACGTTTCATCTAGGCTCCCAGCTCCGGGCAAGGTCAGGGCGGGGGGCGCCTGGCGCGCTGCATGGCTCGCCCTCTCCCTCCGCATTCGGCGTCGTTTTGGTTTCCCTTGTCACTTCAAGGCCAAAAGGGGAGAGAGGACAACTGGAAATCCCTCTTTCCAGTTCAGATCTTTCAATGAAGAACGAAACTCCCTTGATGGCTTCTCACAGGACTCTCCAGGTACCCTGTTGGAGTGCAGACTGGCGCAATCAGCAAGCTAGCAGAGTCTGCACCCCTTTCAAACGGAATGATGTGCACTCCTTTCCATTTTTTTTTATATTTGGCATTGAAATTACGGTTGATTCTCCAAGTATTGCAACCAAGCAAATCACAGATCATGGTGTACACCTGGGCTTTTCCGGATTCCTAATTGCCATATTTGGGCTTGTCTGACATCACAGTGATGTCATGGTGTGTCCTTTCAACACAACCCTAAAAGAAACCGTCAACCAAAAAAAGGCGCGCCCATTTGAGGTCTGTCAACACAACATAGTGCCATGGAATATACCCCGAGAAATACGAGAGCTGGTAAAGGCTGCCGTGGAAAGGCTGCCACGAACAAGGTTTGGGTCGGGACCGTCCAGCAACAATTCCGGGTTTCTACCAAACCTCATTTGGCGAACATCCGCTGTACCCCAATGGACCCCGACTACTCAAGAGTGAACACACACTGCGGATGACCCTAAGGGTTGCAATATTGGTGCAGGTTGCCCAGTGACGGCACAAAAAATGCAACCCCCGGGGTTGACCTTTTTTCGTGGGGAAACCGCAGAAACCAACTAACGCTTTGGCCAATGCGCACTAGGTCGGGTGCCCGGCCGCCTGCGCTTGGGCTTGAGCCGCTTGGGCGGCCAGCTGGATCAAAACCTGTGGGCCTCGCGGGTCCCGCATGTCTCTCCAAAAGATGGACGTGGCTCCCTGGAATCGATCTGAAGCCCTGCCATCCACGCAATTGCTTGAACCTCTGCTGCCGTTGATGGAACAATATCTAAATACATGACACTTGTTTCCGACAATGAAGGTTAAAGGTCCGGCCAAAGAGCGTTCAAGGAAACGGACCAAAGGAGATGCGATGGACCCCAGGAGCCCTGCTGAGAGATCCATCCACGATGCCCAGCACCACCTGCGACAGCAACCCCGACCTCCCTCCAATGGCTGTTCAATTAAGTAGACTCTTTTTTGGAATGGATTTAAGTGGAAACACAAACTCAAGGTGGAAAATCAGAATCTTTTTGTGAGCATGTTGGAAGGGGAACAAACATAACACACTGCAATGCGCTCCAGGTTTTCACAACTTTCCCAACTATGGAGGCGGCTCGCGCTCTGCCTTCTTGCAAACGTCGACCTCTGCAAGGGAGCCAATGATGGTGACCTCGCGAATCCAAGTCTCTCAAGCAGCCGATTCCAATATGGCCATGGGTCAAAATCCCGTACCCCCAGTGAACATCCCAATCCCCACTAAAATAGACTAAAATGGGTGTTGCACCTACCCCAAAATGGTACCATTGGTTTTGAACCATGGCCATGTGATGGAATCGGCGTGGGCGTCGAAGCTAGTCTTCGAATGGCTTCGGGTTGCTCCATGTTGAATCAGGCGGCCTTCGCCTTCTCCTCTGTGGGGGTGTGCTGCTCAACGAAGCAGTGGGCCCTCGGCAAAGTCTGCTTGGTGCGTGCGCTCGGATATCCACGGCTTCTGCAACAAGGACCACACACACACACACACACACGCACAGACACACTCACACGTTTTCAGATGAGCCCCACGCAACAGAACGGTTTAGGGTACAATGGGTACAACAGATCACTGATCGTTTGGCTGATTCCGCTTGCCACAATCAGGCTTGCAAGAGACTATGGATGTGAACATTTCACCAGTGCCAGTGGAGAGGGTGCGATAATGAAACGCGCAGCCTGAGGAGCAGACTTTGAGTATGTCTTTAGGGCGTTGATGGTCGACGCATTCTTGCCGATGAGTGTTCCAACCTGCACGTTCGGAGAACTCAAGCCAAAACTTGGCTTTGTTCACTAAGCCTCCGCATGTAACTTGCGGCGACTTCTGCACATTGAGCACGCTCAAAATATGCGCTGGTATCGTGATGAACATGGAAAGAAAGTCAACCCCCTAACTGTAAAAACTTTGTGAGTCCCCATTTGTCCCTTCTGATCATAGACCCCTGAACATGTCAACTGAGCCTCACATTTTGAACACGGGCCGGGGAGGGGCGTAGACTGAGCGCAGGGCTGCGCTCTGTGGAATCTCCAGCACCTCCTGGCGGATTTCGTTGGTTTCGTCCCTCTGTAGCCAATGGGGCGCCTTTCTCGGGGTCAGTTCAGTTGGATGCTTCCCTCGGCCGGCAAGGGTGCCCTCGCGGCGGGGGGGGTGGGGAAGGATGGAGAACTGGAGGAAGCACCCTGATGGACGGATCAACTGACAACGGGCGACAGTGTCCGAGGTGAAACCAACCATGTTCCATAAGAATCCCTGCTCAAGAAATCAGATCTCTCTGTCAAGCTGAAGCTTGGATTAGCATGGAATGAAGCATGTCCAAGATCGGAGGCATACTCGGTGATGCACAAAACATACGCTAAGAGCCATTGGACAAAGCAAGGATGGCCGCAGCACAATCAGAACAGAAGAGGGGAACTCTGAGTCTCGATGCTAACTGGCATCATTCAATGAACAAGGTTCTTTCTGAGATCTGTAACAGCGGTTCACAACATGAGACCACTGCATTGTGATGCCAGGTTGCTTCTGGCAGACAACTGTGCTTTGTGGTGCAATGGCGAATGGATGGTCTGCCTGAATTGCTAGGAGCCAGCAACAAGATAATAATATCTCATATCATATATATATATATATTTCCCTATAATGGCAATGCATCTGGCTGACATCGTTCTCACTGGCAGAGATGAGACAATGTTGTGCCACGTATCCAAGCGTTTGGCTCTCGATTTGCTGAAAACCCTCCTTGGCCCTAACACATGCTATGATGCTGCGCGGTTTAAACAGTGAGCCCCCGCACCGTCAGCTTGTTGGCCGCAGTGGCTGCAGCTGCAGCTGCTGCAATTGCTGCAGCAGCCTCAGCTTTGGCTTAGAAGATGCGCAGCCCACCCAGGTGACAACAGCACCCCCGGCCATGTAGGGACCCTTTAGCAGGTGGGTTGTAGCTTCCATAGGATGAACACAGGGAAGACACCCCCTCAATGCAACTGCATTCAGTTAACCCTGCGCCTGGCAACATTCCTGTGGGTCCTGCTTAAAGGAAGGATTTTCAGGCCAAGAGCCAACCCCACCGAGGCATCCGTGTCACTCTCCGGGCCTTTCCTACGTGCCTTAGGCCCCTGACAGAGCCTGGCGCCGTGGCCGCGGCCGGCGCCGAGCTGCCGATGCTTGCCCCTGCACCTGTTGGCTTTGACGGTGATATTCAATCACGTCATAGGGGTATGGGTCAAAATTAAACCACCGGTTTTAGTCCATGTTTCCATTTACTATGTCCACCAGCCGATGCCCCCCTTTTCAAGCGGAACAAACAGTTTAGCACCTCATTCTGAGTGGATGCGTTCAATGCGAGAGAACGGCCCAAAAAGCATGGACCAGCGGACCACGTGTCGCACAGGTCAACCTTCCCGGGAGGCTCCCGGCACTAAAGGCAACCCCAACAAGCAACACTCGGCACCCGGAGAGCCCAGCAAACTCTATTAATTGTGGATCCCGATTTTCTGGAGCATACTGATGTTTGTGCGCACACATTAACAGCTGAACCTGACCAAAACGCCCTGGTCAGGGTAAGGCTTGAAGCACCTGCCGGCAGCCGGGCATCAGAAGAGAAATGAGGGCCAGCTTGGTGCATTTCATTGCACATGGAAACCCACCAGAAGTGGAAACGCGTGGCTCTTGGTGGGTTTTGCCGGTCACTTCGCATCCCTCGCGCCCGGCCTGTCACAAAGCCGCCCGGTGCCGACGCCCCGACCTGGGGCGGTAGGTGGCGGGTTCGAGGGCCTCAAACTCCGGGAAGGTCCTCTGGGATGCGGTTTCAAGGGATGCGGTCTCAAGGAAGCCCGGGAAAAACGGCTACTTTCTTGGCTGTTTCTATGGGTGGCCCCAATCCTCTTTTTCGGTAGAGACCCATACTACAGCTTGCCATGTTTTTTTTCTTGATGGTACTGTGGTGAGCAGTGTGCCTCATATCACAGTAAATATCGATCATGACTCAGAGTTTGCTGAGCCGACATCTCACTTCCCGCAGAGCTCAGCTCGGGGTCTGGCCGGGATCCCCCGAAGCGGATCCCCGATTCCACGACACCCTGCTGAGAGCGGGTGAGAGAGTCTAAGACTTGGAAGGCAAAATGCTGTTTGGCAGTGGCATGGTCATGCAGGTCTGACATTTTCTGCCAGAAAAGCCTGCACGGAAAAGCGCAGCAAGCTGTCGCAGCATGTTTTGCTCGACATATAAGCCACATATCATAATATCAAAATACAGGCATATGCGGCATATGCTGTTCGGCAACTGCAGTTGATGGGACATTGTGCAGTTCTGACGCTTGCCAGAAAAGCTTGCCCAAGCAAGCAGCTGCCGCAGCTGGAACCAAAACGTAGCTCCACAAAAGGTGCTACGGCTGGTTTCATAAACAAAACTGGTCCTAACAACTCGGCTTCGGCCATCCGATTCGGCTGGCCAGGAAGAAGCCCGCCCAAGCAGGGTATAGACCAAAATAGAGGTGCCCCTAACCAATACCACAGAACTGCTTGCTTCCATCGTTTGCCTTGACACCATATCGGGGGCCCCCGATTTCAGACACACCCGACGCGGCAAAATCCTCGATCCGATACGGCAGAAACTGCTGCTTTTGCGGCTGCGCCGGCTGCGGCTTCGCGATCACTTTCGAGGGGACATCGGTCCCTAAGCAGGGCTTCGGCCAGGTCGAAAGCCAAAGCTTCAGCTTCTCCAGGTGCTGGCGCGAGGCTTGAGGCCCAAGCGCTGATCGCGGCGCTGCTCGGCCGCCTCGATGCCGTCCACGGTGCAGCCCAGGCGCCCGCAGAAGCCCGCGGTGTAGACCAGGAAGACCAGCAGGGAGATGGCGGAGCTCAGCAAGAAGGGCGCCACAGGGTGCACCTGCTCGTAGAGGTACATGGACAGGGGCCCGGTGAGGAGAGAGCCCATGGACTCCGCGTTGCGCGCGAAGACTTGGAGCGCCACGTAGGTTCCTGTATCCCCCCGCGAGTAGAAGAGGTTCAACTCTGTCACCATCTTCATGGAGAAGACGAAGATGGTGCCCATCAAGACCTGCGACACAATGGCCAGCCACAGCCAGGGGCTTGCCATCGCCAGGTTCATGACCACCCAAAGGGCCAGCACGCAGCTCAGGTTGTAAGGCTTGGACACGATGGCGCCCAGCCACTTCCTGCATCCAGCGGGCTCCGTCTCCGACTTCCAAGGCTTCGGCAATTGCATGAGGCCCGCTGCGACGAGGTCCCCTGCGGTTTGGGCCACGCCCGCCCATGTGGCCGAGGTCCATCCATGCTGCTCCCGGAAGAAGATGGCGAAGACCATGTATTCCGTGGCGTAGGCGAAGTAGTTGTTGAAGGCGTTCAAGGTGATGAGCAACGCTGGGAGGCCCAGGCGAACTTTGCTCATGGGCACCGGCTGGCCCACGCTAGTCCTGCTCACCTTTCCCAACCTCTTGCTGGTTTCGGTCTGGAACAACTTGTCCACCCGCGCCTCAAACACCCCGCAGTGGGAGTTCCGCCGCTTCTCGGCCGCCGGGGTTGTGTCCGCCGGCTGGTCGCTGCAACTCCGCCCGCGCCCCTTGACGGGCACCAGCACGTTTGTTTCGAGAATCGGAATGCCAGGGAGCACACCTTGAAAGGAGTCCACTGTTTCGCTCGCATTCACCACACGGACCACCATGCAGGTCTGCTCGTCCTGTGCCTTGGACTCCTCTGGCATGTCCCTCACCTCTGTGCCCCTTCTGCAGCAGCTGCAGAGCTTTCGGACGGATGCCCAGCACGCGGGTTCAGTGAAGAGCAGAAGGACTTCCAGGAGGACACCTGCAAAGTGCACGATCACCAGGCCGTGCCAACCGAAGAGGTCGAAAACGGCACCCCCCAAAGTCGCAGCACCGGCATAGGAGATAGTGAACACGGAGAGCACCATAGATGCTGCTCGGCTCGCCTGCTCTTCGGAGTCTTGCCAAGTAGTGATACAAATGGCGTCAATGGCAGTGCTGATGTCCGTCATGAAGACCATGCCAACCTGCAGCAGCACGGCCCACTCCAGGTCCGGGAAGAGGAGTGCTGGGAAGAGCGCGGCCAGGTGCAACAGCACCAGGGGCAACACAATCCACGGCCCACAGTGCAGCTGCAACTGCTGCATCAAGATCCGCATGCCGCAGCCCACGGACACCGCGAGGCCGTAGTACTCCAGAGCCCAGCCCATATCCCGGAAGTACAATGGGCAGGCGGCCCAAAGAACGCTGACGGTGTTTCCATGCAGGGCTGGCAGCAGGAAGCATACCGCCACGTACCTCCACGAACATCCAATCTTGTCTGCCATAGCTCCCAAAGGCAGTCTGAGGCGGATCTGCGAACTTTTCGCTTCAGCCGAAATCGAAAACCAGATTGAGGGGCTGATGACCACCCCACCAACCCGAAGTGGGTCTTTTGACCACACGGGTGCAGCTCCCTCCCAAAGCCGAGGAGCGGTTGGAGCCGAAGGCGCCGATGTTGGGTACCCCGGCCTCACTCGCAGGCATGCATAAAAAACCCTTGGGATGAAGTGGCGTACCCTCCAAGATGTTGTGCAGATACACACCGAAAGGCCGATATTGGTCAACAATGTCAACAGGAGCCCAAACAAGGCCAAGTAAATCAGGAAGCTGAGGCATGGGGAACTTTTGCGTGTGCCCAGACATGACGCATCTCAGTCTGCCATGTGTTGGCACCCAATGATTGGAATTCGAGAAACCCACACGAAGAGATCCGCTGAAAGAAGCCCTGTCGAGCAACGCAAGATGGCGAGGTTGCAAGTGCACATGTCTAATAGTGTCCGCCCTGAAATAAAAGATCCACATCCGAGTTCATTCATGAGCTTGGTTTACCCCCGCCTCGGTGAGCCGCTTGAACCACTGCCGTCGTAACTTGCTATGTCTGCGTGTGTCAAAACCAGAGCTTTCCTTTTGGAACAGCTCAAGGAAAGGTACCTCACTTGACGCATAGCTTCCCAATCCTCAGCGTCCGGGCAATGCTGGCATCGCCAGCTGTCCAGGGACACCTGCTTCCCGAGCGGCGAAGGACCCAAAACGTGGGTCATTTTGCCGATCCTCAGGGGGAAAACCCAATGCCAATGCCTTAAATGCAAATCCTGGATAGGGGAAAACACCCCCTCTTGAAGAAACCGCCGATTTTGCGTTTGATGAAGATCACGCGGAGTTGCCAGTGGCCTCTTCGATGCGAGCACTTCCAGTAGCCAATGAATCAGCCGAACATCTGTCGGAAATGCATCCCAGCCAACGATCTCCTGCAACCAGTTTCCTTGGCACCCAAATGCAGCATCCGTCAACAGAGACACCAGGGTGTGGCTCAAATTTAAAGAGTCAGGGTTACGCAGGTTTTGCTGCTTTTGCTTCCATTTACCAAGGGACCATTTTTGGGGATTCCTTTTTTTGAGCCAACTCTGACAAAGAAAACCACCCCAGTGCCTGGCACTGGCCCCGTGTCTGGCCGCAGCGCAGCGAGGCCACCAGGGGGCAGCGGGGCTCCGATGCCTGCCACCCCCAGAAACGACGAAGGTTGCTCTCGTAACCAAACAACAGGTTGCTTATGCCCCAGGTCTTCGGCCATCATCATGCAGGATGTCTGTTTTGTGTTGGCACCCTTGTTGGGGAGTTGCATGGTGTTGCAGTGTTCGGCAAAGGGCAAACACTGGTCTCCGAAACAGCCCCGGAAACACCCATGAGACATAAACTTAGTTTCAAGGTGTTCAGTATGGCCTTTCCGACTTCGGGAACCAGCTGAAAAAATCGGTTTTCGGGTTGGCTCCAAAAAAGGCCGAACACGTGCAACTGGAGCAGGTACCTTGGCTGGAACCCCTGGGCTTCTTATATACGGAGTTCGAATTTACGACCTGGGACTCCCTTCGCAATTCAACTCAGCCCTTCCCGATGTCGCGTCCGCGACTCGCGCCTGGCGCAGGTGGCCTGGCTCCACGCAAACAAAAAAGGAACCCAAGTGGTACCTTTGGGGTCTGGTCGTCTCAACCAGTTCACCACAAGCCAAGCTTCAGCCACGCCTCCCCAGGTTGAGAGGCATCTGGCCTACCTCGGATGCGCCGCAAAATTGGCCCGAGTGCCTTCAGCAGTTTTCCAGTTTCGGTGTTGGGTTGGCGGTGGGGAGTAAGCGCTTGTTGTGTTAGGTATCGGTTGCGTCAAAGCATGATGGGTGATGACTTGGTGCTCAAAGGCCTGGCAAAACCCTGTCTGCCTGCTCAACGCCAGCCATGGTGTCCGACAAAGCGCCACGCGTACCATGAAGTTGTCTTATATGAACAACAGCTGCGGCTTGTTCCGCTCTAGGCCACTTCATAGGGAACTTCACGCTGTGCGCACATTGCCGGCGTTGCCCTTGAAGCGTTGTCTTGCTCGGCAACTGCTACGGTAAAGGGCTCTCGAAAAAGAGTCGAAGCGATGACCGCCACTTTAAGACCTCGACACTCGAAAAAAGCGCTGAAAGAGGGCCATGCCATTTTGGCGCTATCCCCTAAAAGAACTCCGAGCGCCAGGCAGGTGGCTGGTGAGGTCTTGGCCTTGGCGCGCTGGAAAGCTTGACAAATGGGCGATAAAGGGAACGCAGCAAGTGGCTGTGTATCGCAACAAAAGGAATCATCCGGCTTGGTGCGTTGAAAAAGGAAGGCATTCCAGTTGTTTCAGCGGTTCTTGAATACAGGCAACCATCAGCTTTGATTGGCCCATCATAGTGAACCACTCCATGACCTGCCTGAAATTCCTGTACTTTCCCAACGGACATAGTCATCCCAAGAGTACTTCACCTGCGTGCCACAACTTGGTTGTCTTTTTCGCATGTGGACGACCCCTGTTTCATGTTGGGATGTTTGACTGGTAGCCTATTCTTCAGCAAACAGATTACTACAAGGGAACGGCTTGAGGGAAACTACAACATAACAAAGAAGGAACCGACAACATGTCGCCCATTGTTTCCAATGCATGTTCCATTCTGTCAGTCTACCGGATCCATCTCATATCTCTTTCAGTGTTCCACAGGAAAGGCTGAGTAGCCGCCAGTTGCCATTCAGTATTCTTCTGCTTGTTCTCAGCCCGTCCTCCTGAACATGGGTTTCTTCAGAGGAGAACACCCCTGGGTCTGAACCCTCTCTGGGGCCTGAGCCCGCCAGGCCCAGGCATCTGGCAGGGCTGGGTCGAGCCCAGACTTCCCAACGAGTTTACTTCGCTCTTGGACTGGACAAAACCCAATACACAGGGCTCAAAAAGTGGTCGACAACTTGATTGTCCGGCGGGAAGAAGGTCCTCCTTATTTCAGCGTGGAGCGCGGCAAATACCACGCGTGTTGTGTCGAGAACATAGATGAGCTATGTGCGTGCACCGCTTGTGGCTCCAACAGTAAACTCTCTCACAGACATAAACATGTTGATCTTGGCTCGATTGAAAGTACAACACATGAAGAGGCCAGTAATGCGCCTCCGCTCGGCACGTTCAAGCGATTCACATCTGATCCCGAAGAGTGTTTGCAACGGAATTTCGATGGTCAAACCTTCCACGTGGGAAAGAAGCACATTGTCCAGCAAACCTTCGGCGCACGGCTTTGCCCAAGCAACTCACTTTGACCGTTGACCATGCTCAATGCGTATCTTGGTGCCTAACACCAGGCGCACTATGGTGGCTACAAACTTGCCTGGCGACCCTTTGGCTGAAATCATTTGTGGCGGTTTGTGTTCGGCCAGGGTGTTCCCTATTGAAAGTCATAGCCAAACTGTAAGGTGCACCGAGAGAATGTGCAGGCCGCTGGGATCAGTGGGGTCAGCTAGTCAGCCCTGTACAACAAATGGGTTCTACTCTACTTGTAGCCCGTTAACCGTTGCTCTTGCTTGGACTTTGCCGCATCCCTTTCCAACCACATCCCCACGCGAATATTGGCCTCTCTCCAGGCAAAAGGCGCGCTTTCCCGATAGTTTCCCTGAAAAGCATCCCAACTTGACCGCTCCCTGGAAAAGAGACACACCCCTATGTCTCCTTTCAACATCACCCCATCGCAGGAAGCTCATTTGTCCAAACCACCCAAAAAGGACATCTTGGAGACCCTCCGAATCCACCATCCCGGGAGTGAACAGCAGATGGATTGACGAACTGGCGACTCGTTCTGAGGAACCGAAAGGCAGCACATGTACCGAAACGAGCCCACTGCCGTGCTCCGCGCCTGCGGCCCGGGACCAAGCCGTGGGGCCTGGCGTGCTGCATGCGGGGTATGAACTCGGTCAGGTTGCAAGCACGGGTTTTGACTTCTGAAGGCTTCGTCTCGAGCGATTTGCTGAACAATACCTAATCAACAAACTTCTAAAATCTGATGCCTGTGCCAGCACGCTTCTGGGGTGGCACGAGGGATGACTCGAGTATCAAGTCAGGACAAAATAGCGCCCTGCAGAGTGCTTGTAACGTGCCATGTGAGTCAACACTCTCTCCATGCATGCTCTGCCTTCGTCCACCAGTCTGTTTGACTTCTCTCACTCTCTCGCGCAAAGCGAAGCTGGTTCCTTTTGTTTACAAATCTGCGCATCCTTACAGAATCGACGTTTTGTTGTTGTCCTTTTTGATTTCCGCTCGGTTCTCATTTCAAGGCAAACCTCAAGGGGTGCCTTTTTTTGAAAAGGGAGCCTCGAGTTAGCCCGTGGGCTACTTCAAGCCGTGCCTTGTTGGGCTCCCATAACGGTGGCGGCCGCGGCCGCTGGAAGTTGGGCTGGGGCCCCGCTTGCTGCCCCTCAGTTCGCTTCGGCGTTGGCATGAACTCGTGGCGTGTGGCCGGCTGGCTCGGCATTGTTATCCAGTCTCACAGGTTCACGTCGCCTTCCTTCGGCATCAAGATCGACAACAGGGGCCCCAGGGGGGTGGGAGCATCATTCAGGGGTGGATGTTTGGGGGGGCAGATTGATCTTGGTGCCCAAGGCTGCCTTTTCACCAGTCTGCGATCAACAAACATAGAAAACCTCGAGTAAGCCTGCAGAAAGGCTCAAGCTAGCCCATTGGTCAACCCGTACCCCCCAAGTACCAAGCCAGTAAACTCTTTAAGACTCGTAGCAAACCCAAGTAAAGCTCTTGCAAAGGAATTGATTGACCGCTGAGCATCCAAATCAAGGGGGTTCGCCCCTTGACACCCAACTTCCAAAGAAGTTGAGGGTGAATTCATCCATCCCAGTTGAACAGCCAAGGTCCCGCACGCGGCTTCAACTCCCAAGACTTACTGAAATCCAAACTTGCATGGCAAGCCCTGAGGAACCTTAACTCTTGGGCAACCCCATCAAACATCACCCCCCTGAAGAAGATTCGCTCAAAGTGACCCCGCATTGCTTTACTCGCCCGACAGAATCAGCCATCCAGATCCCGAACATCCAGCAATTCTGTCCGGGGAGCTCCTGAACCATTGCCATCGACCTAGTCCTCAACATTGCCTCCTTTCCCACTCCAAGGAGGATACGTTTTTACGGCCAAAAGGGGAGTTCTCCTCACTCACATGGCTGTGGGTCAAAAATATGGCAACGCTTTGTGCGGCTGGCAGAGTTGAAGTTCCCCGTCTTCAGCTGCCGCAGGGCCGCCGCCACCTCGGGGCCGCCGAAGCCGCCGGATGCAAGGGGGGATGCGAGGGGGCTGTATAATAGGGGGTGGCACCCACAAAAACAGAAACGGCGACTCTCAAACTTAGCCCTACTTCCTCGCTCGCCCCTGAGCCTTGCACGTCCGCGTCAACCTCCGACATCTTCCCAGCCCTCAGATCGCGCCTTTGAAAATCCACGAGTCTTCAATTCCTGAAATGAGAAACTCACCCGGCAGCTCTCACTGCCTACGTCCCTTTAAATGCTGCTGCTCAACAGTTGGGTGCCTTGGCTGGCTCTGCATGTTCTTGCTGCGCATTGCCCACCTCACCTTTGAGCCGTAAAGACTTGGTCACGAGGCGGAGGCGTGCAATTCTCCCGTGTGTCAAGCCTAGTTGTCAAATGGGCAAGAAATGCCGGGCTTCACATTACCCGACGCCATCTCAGGCATCGTGAAACAAAGCCCTGAAAACCTGCCTACGGACTCAAGACTCCAATGAGCCCACATCACCTTTCCTGTCGAAATTCCAAGTCATGCTTGCAATGGTAGAACACCGTCGTTAACAGCCTCCCATGGTGACAACAGCACACACAGCGGTGGAGCGGGAGGGCTCACTTGCAGCCGTGCTTTTCCATGGACTTCAGGATATTGAGGGTGCCGACAATGTTGTTCTCATAGTACCTGGCCCCGAGTGTGCATGGCCCCTGCCTGAGTCTTGCTCTCTCACTGCGTCACATCACCGTATCTCGCCGAAACCGCTTTTGCGTTTATGTAGACCCCTGATCCCCTCTCACACAAGCCAACAAGCAGAGTCTGTGAATTGTTGCAGGATACATTCCATCTTCAAAAGTCGAACACTGCCAAGGCCCAAGGTGGGGCACACCTGAGACAGGTCTTGATAGGCTTCCCCCAGCAAAGGGGGGGCTGACCATAGAGCTGCGGCCGTGTGAGTTCCGCCGTCTGCAAAACCCTGCGGGCGCACCACATGGGCTTAGCCACGGACTCCCCAACCGCCTGCGTGGCGCAACGAGTCAACGAGCCCACTGAGGTCGCAAGAAGGGCATGGATGGCATGGCGTTCTTCCTAGGGCTACGTCTTCGAGCGGAAGCGGATGACATCATCCAAGTGAATGGGCCCACAATATCCGAAGCTTTTAAGTACATCCCGTCGTCAAAATCCACGAGGGTGCTTCAGAATTCCGTGGGGCCGCTGTTTGCTTGCGCTGGCCGATCTACTGAGTCCTGAGTCCTGTCTCGTGGCTTGAGCTGGGCACGAAACATGCGGCCATGCCCGCTCGAGCCGTGGCATTAACACACCTCACAGGCCTAAACCTTGGAACACGGCATGCACGCCTAGCTGAGAGTCCAAAGGTGAACCAGTGGATGCATCGCATAGAGAAACAGAGCTTTGGGGTCCAGAAAAGACACGCCTCAGCCGGCTCTCTATGTCCGTGTCTGAAAAAGGTTCAGTAGCTGGGGCTGCACTGCCCCCAAAGAGACGGCATGAGCCATGAGCCTACCCTTGGAAATGGCTATATATATATATATATATATATATATGTTGAATTCAAGGGCCGGGGGAAGCGCTCTGAAAGTCGCCGCTAACTGACGGGCCCTGGCCGGCAACTTAGGCCGTGCCGTCGCAGACTCGGCAACTCTGGCACGTGTGGCCAGCGAAAATTGGCTCGCCTTGGCGCAAACGCCAACACTCCGATGCGGGGTGAAATGGGTTGAAACCTTGGGTCCGACAGTACAATATGCACAAGAGACAGAGCCAGGCTTGTTGCAACTCACACTTGAGCAAGCAACAACTCCGCCCCTGCAGCCTTTGACCTGATTATGTCCCCGCAAGCGAGGAAACGTCTCTGTCCGTCGGATGCCAAGCCGAAAATGGGAGACGCTCACGGAGTCCTTTAAGGAGACCGTGCCCTGAGCACCTGGCACAAACTTCACGGCCGTTTCAGTGGGGGGAAGAATCCCAACGGCTGCCCAGTCAACGGCTCTCACTTCCTGAGTGGTCAGTAAGGGAATCAACTGAAACAGGATACGAAACCAGGCAAAGCAGCCTTTTCTTCCAACTGGGAGCAAAGGGAGCACAAACTGAACCTGAAACAAGTCAGTCCGGGGCACCTGCCTGGGTCGAAAATGGAGCGGGAGGCACTTCCCAATGAAAGGCATGGGTATGGGTGTGGGTTGACAAGCCCTCCGGTCTTCTCCACACAAGCAACAAACAAACTCCTGAAAGAGCACCTTGATTGGTGGTTGCCGGTTGGTCCCTCAACGCCTGACCCAAATGAAGCCAGCCACCACATAGATCAAACCTGAGACACGGGGTTAGAAGTTTCGACTTTCGGGGTTAGAAGTTTCTGCCTTTCGGGGTTAGGAGATTGTGTGCTCTTTCTGCAGACTTTTGCCGAGTACATGTGCTCCTCTAGGTGTATACACTATATATATATATATATATGTATATATGTATATATGTATGTATGCTTGTGTTCATGTGTGGTACCCAGAAGCTTGTGGCTCTGCTTCCCTGCCTTGGTGGCGTGTGTGCCTATGTGTCCCCTAGCCTCAGCAGACTGAGCAGAATGTGCGCTCCGCAGGGGCCATCATGCAATCAGCCGGCGCCAGGATGGCAAGGCTTGCCCCGTTGATACAAAGCGATTTGGGTCTGTCTCCAAGTTTTGGGCCCCTCCCCCCCCAATAAAAGATACAGTAAAGTAAAATCTGTGTTTTTTTTTCCCCTTGGCTTGATGTCGCGGATCAAACCTATAGGCTGGGAACACTCAAACGGAGACAATGCCCATCGCCTGGCGGCTTCCCGCAGAGAATTAGCCAAAATGGAGTTTGTAGCACCCACACCCATCCCGAGTCATAACATCGCCGGCGTGCCGATCGCTAGTTGGCCCTTTTTACATACTAAATCTCGGGCTGCCATGGCAGGAAGCAAAAGGTACCTCAACAGTTCTTATCCAAGGTGCGGTTCGTTGAGTTTCAAGCTTGCCGTGGGTGGAGGATGACGAAACCCGAGATTCTGCCGGATCCCGCTAATCATGTAGAAACTGCCCTGTTCGGAGATTTAGCTTTTGCCTTTTAAGAAAAGCCCAGGTCTGCGCGTCCCCACTTGCCAAGGCCTCAACATCAACAGCTTCACCATTCACAGAGTGTCGGCACGCCAAACCCAGTACAGTAGATCCCGTTCACCACTAGGGGCAGCCTAGTGTTTATTCTTTGAAGGGTAAAACTGGAAAATGAAACAGGAAACTGCCAGAGGTTTTGAGTCGCAGAGGTCATTCGATACTGCTCACCTACCCTTCAGTTCTGGTCGAAATTAAAAAAAGGCTCAAAGGTCAGCTTGGTACACATGTTTCTTCCACGCCTCTTCAAGGTGTCAGCTGGGCCTGAAGCATTTCGTCGGCACAACAAGGGGGTCTGAGCCACTCTCGGGTTTCAAGATCCAGGGAATCTACTGTAGGTCCTCCAGTAGAGAGGTTGGAATAAGGGTACCCGATTTTTTTTCTGTAGTCTATTTTAGTAGGGGAACCCTCCCCCAAAAAAGCAAAAGGGCACTGCTGGGGGACCTAGGAATGATTGTTCAGGTAGCCAGGGCTTGAAATATGGCTGTGGGTCAAAACCAATGGTACCATTTTGGGGTAGGTGCACCACCCATTTCAGTCTATTTAGTGGGGATTGGGATGTTCACTGGGGGTACGGGCTTTTGACCCATGGCCATATCCGCACGTCTCTTGCACTGATCAATCCTCACGGCTGCTGCTGACTCACAACACACATCTACACAAACCACCAATGACCGTCTTGTTCATGTGACGGTTCGTCTATTCTATCTACCCATCCCGAAAACTTGGTCGAAAAGAATTGAAATGGTATGCCGATGTGCCACCCACGTTCCAATTGTTTTCAACATGATGACAACTCAAAGCGGGCCCTAATTCCTCCACCAACAGTTCTGCTTCTTCTGGGGAGAGAATCTCATGTGTCCACTCTCAGGCAGGTTTCCAGGTATTGCCTCTTGGACATTGCCAGGCCAGATAGATGCATCGCAACCAAGTGCCCTGTCAAATAGCAAGGAATTGCTTCTAGTTGACTTTCGTCACCATGTTCAACTAGCTTTGATTCACATTTCCACATCGCCTTGCACAATCGCAAGGCTTTGCTCTTGACTTCCACACAACAAGTCATACTTAAACAAGCTCCTTGAGTTGGAGCTTGTTAATATCAAGCCGCGTTTCCTGGGCCACCTGCTTCCCCTTTGGGGCGCCGTCCTCCCGCAGCTTGGGGTCAACCCCTTCCGAAACCTTCCTGAGCACCCGGCGGCGGCCAAACCTCCGACGGCGCCGGGCCGCGCCTTGCAGACTGACTGACTCGGGGACAAGTTCACTCGGCCAACGAAAACGGGCTAAGGACCCACGAAATACACGAAATGATATGGGGACCCACTGAATGACACAGGGGCCGACTAAGTCATGATATGGGGACCCACGAAAAAAGTGATTTCAATGACATGGGGGCCAACTGAATAATGACATGGGCACCCACGAAATCTGATCTTATTGCCATGCAAACCTGCTAAATCGCATTTCGTTGACACTAGTTGAGACCTTGACAAGGAACTACAATGTACAGGAACTACTGTACGGGGTCAACGAAATGTTGGAGTTGGTGAACCTGCAAGGAATCCACCGCGGAAGCGTTACACACATTCAGTCAGAGGCGTGCCTGCGCAAAGAGTTAAAGTGTCCAAGAATGTCTTGGAAAAGCACCCATCCAGAATGAAGCCCCGGATTTAGGGCACCTCCACAATCTGCACACAGCATCTCACATCTGCAGATGTGTGCTTGCTTCATACACTCACTTGCAGCCCAACGACCTGGAAACCGAACATTGACTGACCTTTGGGGGGTGCCAAGACTACAAATGCACAAGCAAATCAAGGTCAAAAGGTCGGCCTTGAACAATCAGGTTGATTGCCGTTGAGGTAGAGCAAACACTCACAAAGAAAACTAGCACTTCCAAACCTATGGCACGTTAGCAGAACAGTGTTTGCTTTGGCTGCACACATACCCCCCAACTAAAAAAATAAAAAGGAAAATAAAACAGAAACAAACAAAAAGATCAAGAGATATGTTGAAAGCACAAAATTAAACCCAAATGTGTGCCCAGAAGACGTGGGTGACCTGCCAGGTTCTGCCCGTTCGTATTTGGGCTCCCACCTGGCCGATCGCCGGGCGGACTCCGCATCACCTGGGCCGCAGCACAACGGCAGCTCAAGAGGGTCAAGGTGTTCTCTATGTTTTCCCGGTTCCCTTGATGCTGACCACTGAGTTGTAAAACTTCAGTCATGAATTAGCAGGCTTGCCCTGGAAGAAAGGAATCACTTACACGGAAACGGGGAACCACCGAACGGACGATGGCCATATGGTCGTTGTAGTACTAACCATGCACCTCCGAAAGCGGATCCACATGGGTCTGGCCACGTATGAACCATCGACGTCGTCCCAAGCCAGCCAAGGACTGCTGCTTGAGGGTCGGGTTGAAATCAGATGGCCTTTAGCACTCCAATGAAACATCAAGGACAACCAAGCTGGTAGGGTAACAGCTCAAAGGCCAAATATGCATATATAGGCTCGTGGATTGAATATCCATACGTTATGGCCAACAAAGGTACCAACATGCCCTGAGTTTTACGGGTTCCTCGCCCTCGCCTCCACATGCTCCCGATACGCCCGTTGCCAGGCCCCCCGGCTTGGTGACGCAGAGGCTTTGGCGACCCGCACCATGTGCCGGGGTATCCTCAGGCCGAGGCAGATGTGCCCGAGTGGTACCTTGTGGGATTGGGTTTGAGAGAAATCAAGGGTTTCCATCCGCTTTGGGCGGTTCACTCCGAGACAACCCCGCATGGGAAGCAGGCAGACTGCAAAGACACAGCCCGGAGGCAACTGTTCAGTGGCTTCAGATGGAAAACCCAAAGAAAATCCTTGGCATTTGAGCACAAGGTTGGGTCCAGATGCTGTATCATCTGATGCCGCACAGAGCAGAACTGCGCGAACATGCCCATAATGGCCGACGGATTTTGAACAAGGGCATGCATCAAAGCTGCGAATCCGTTGGTCTTGCGCTGTTTTTCGTCGTCGGCGTCACCTAAAGTGCGGGGCCCCCTTTCGAAAGCTGAAAGTGAAACACTGGAAATGCTAGGTGTGGCTCAGTGCTCGAATTCAGTTCCTCGAATGACAAAGAAGGGAAAGCAGGGCTTGCCTGCAGAACCAAGAGCAATGCTTTTGTGTACTGCTCCAGTCCTCCTTTAGTTTCCCCTTTTCAGGGGCTATCTGGCACACACCCGCTTCGCGCCCGAGCCAAAGCGAGCAGCGAACCAACCCCACGTCCTCCTGGCTGGAGACTCGTCCATGCGAGGCGTGGAGGAAAGTGGCGGTGTCCTGGGCAAAGGAGGGGGTCAGGGTGTGACACCTCTGTTGCAGAGAGAAACCACCCAAGGAACCATGAACCCGCTTCATCTGCCATGCTTTCCTCTTAACGTGGATCCAGCACATGGTCTCCGAGTTTTGGCACATGTCTTTTCTGTTTAGGACACAGGGCGATGTTTGCAAACTAAGGGACGTTTGAGCCTCCTTGAAGAGAAGCCTTCACTGAATCAACCCTTACTGATACAAAGCGAGCGCTGTCGCAAACTCCCTCACAAAGTTACGATTGCAAAAAACAAGTTGTCAAATACGACTGGCTGTCACCATCCTCGATGAACATCCCAAATTCGAGCGCACATAGTCAAAGGCTTCGCCCGGAGGCAAGGACTGTTCCTCGAATCCGAGAGATTGCCATTTATGGCACGGATCATGAAATCCATCCTCGTTTTCGAGACAAAAGTCAAACACTTTCAAGAACTCAAGCATCAATCTGGCCTTGCTTGTGCTCGTTGCCCAAGTGGTTTTCGGTTTCGTGCTGCTCCCTTTTACACCATGGTCCGGCTGCTGTCCATCCAATTTTTGCCCATTTGCTCATTTCCTCGTTGAGCCAATGGTCAGCAACAAGGGAGTCGGCCCCGCCTCGAGGCTTCCCACGAATCTTTTCGCTCCCGGTCCGCCTGGCAAGCCGCCAGACACACAACAGGAGGGGTCAACGGCAACGGCCGGTGCCAAAAAATTGGTTAGCTGTTTGGGAAAAAGACACACCAATGCTGCCAGGTGCTCATATCAGAGTCATCGACAACTATGGTGCTCCAAACGTAGGGCCTATACAAAGGGTACCCATATAGCAGCGCAGTCGCCGGGCCACGATTCTAGTTGGGGGCGTTTGCTCCAGCCAGGGAAAGCAACATCTGCATGCTGGGCTCAAAGCGCTTTGGCTGCCTATAGAATGCAACACCTGGGGATGGTCAATCTCGTTCTACCCTCTGTTGCCCTGTAACCAGTGCCCCATTGAAGTCAAGACGGCACCCACAAGGCTTGTCAAAACCAGCCATAAACAAATCTGCTGAAGATTGAAATATTGCTTGCCGCTGCTTCATTTAGTAGACCCCCTTATGTGGCAAAGTAGCGCAGATTGGGTTGCCAGATGAACCATTCATGGGATGCCAGTAACAGTGTCTATTGTATACACTCAGCCCATTGAGTCTCAAAAAGAAGGACCTCTTGAGGTTGCTTTATTGCAAAGGAAGCAAACACAAACACTATGATTTTAAGGGACTTCTCAGATTGATGAAAGAGTTCCCATTGCTGCAAGCACTTGTGACGTTTGTCCAAAATGGTCGCAAAGCCCCATGAATCAAGGCGCTACCCTGTGTTCACCACAAAAATAGGAGATCCTATTCGCTCCACCAAAGTGCAAATGACCCCTGTTCCAAGTGAAAACGGCAAAATCGCCGGGTTAGTCATGGCTGGAGAGCGCATTCAGGCGCCTGCGAGCTTGAAGATCCGCCCAGCCTCGCCTCCTGGGCTATGAGATCAGAGTCCGGTCGGGTTCTGGGCCCCCCCCCGTCCCCCCAGCCCCCCAGCCCCAGGGTTCCTTGAAAACATGGGAATGGCTCTTTATGTAAGAAATGTTGCCAATTGGAAACCCAACCGAACAGATCTCCTACGTGCAATGCATGGAAGCGTCAATATTGCCATGGCCGGTGGCCATGAAACGATCAAAGCGTTAGCAAGGAGGAGCCTGGTTTTCATTGGGGACTCACCAATCAACGCGTGGTTGATGGGTAGGGGCATGTCCCTTTGAGGATCTGGATCAGCTTGCAGGTTGGAGTCTGTACAGGGTATCGCATGGCAGGCGGTGCAATCCTCGGCTTGTTCGCCATGGTGGGACTGGGTAGTTCAAAACCAAGAAGTTGATCCTCTTGGACTAAATTTGAGCGGATCCAAATCATCTTTTACGCACAAATAGACCAAACAAGCCAGAAGACTCAATGTTCCATTCAAATCACTGCAAGGTTTGTTGTGAATATTTGGAGGAAGGAAAACTGCTGGCAATTAGAGCCGCCACAATCCGCCACATCTCAAGATACTCTCAAGCTGGGGCGTTCTCTTTTGGAGGCTTAAGGAAACATCACAGGGAACAAACCCTTGCGGGCTCCTGGAACAAACACACAAACAGCATCCCTACCCCCCCCCCCACCCCAACCAACATGAATTCGCCAAGCTTCGAGCACGCCAGGCAGCGAAGCCTTGGACGGCGACTGATCCTCGGCCCTCCGAGTGATGCGCACGCTGACGGCTGGCTGGCCGGGCGGCCTTGCCGGCGACGTCATGCGCGCCTCGGGTGGAGTGTGGGGCGGCGGCTGCGGCAAGGGAGTGCCCCGGTTGGAGGCGTCCTGCCGGGGCGCTCTGGCAATTTGCGGCGCTGCCGGGATGGACGGCATCGCCAGGGCGCCATGCGCGCGCGGCACGGCGGCCGTCTGCCGCAGGCCGTCGCTCGGCCCCGCGGCGCCGCTCGGCCCGGCGGCGCTGCTTGGGCCGGCGCCGCCGCGCGGGCCGTCCTGCGACGGCTTGGAGCCTCCGCTGGAGGGCCGTGTGCTGCCGCTGTCTTCGCTCATCTGCCCAACCTCACAGTGCCAGCAATCACTGGCTACACAAATGCCCAACATGCATCTACTGAAACTAGGTCATTCAGGCCAACTTATCCGCTCCATGTCTTACATAGTTTCGGCTGTAATGGGTCAAAGCTTGGAAATCCTTGGGTCCCTGCGAGGGAAACCAGCACAAAGCCAAGCATCTGGCATCCAAACCTTCAGCCCCTCTTTTGGACCCCCATTGTTAGGCCCCGGCTGCGCCGGCGACCGTGCAGGCGCTCTGCACCTTTCGGGGCACATACACATGAGGCAACTCATCTGAGGTTTTTTTTAATGTAGACGGTTTGAGCGGATCCTTTGGGACATCATTGAAACATGAGGAGGGGGGTGTGTCCAACGTTGGTCCTGATATAGAAACATGAACATCTGTGCAATAAGCCCTCCTTTATGTATAGTTTTACCTTGGACTCACCACAAGGTGCTGTTTAAAGGGAACATCTGGGGAATCGTGTCACATCAAAAAGGGCTTCTCGGTTGGTTTCTTTCACAGTGGTCTCTAAAGGAGTCTGTCTCTGGAAAAGGTTCGTGGGCGGGAGGTAGCCCGTTTTGGATGCCCGGCTAGAGGCTTTAACGAGAATCGCAAAAACAAGGTGTAACAAAAGAGCAATGTGCTCCCAGGGGGTTCAACCTCCGAGTTGCAAGAGGGTTGCCACTGTTAGACCACTCTCAGGCAACCCGCAAGTGATTCCAGTCACAATTTTGACAAGAAACACACACTGTTTCCTTGTTGGTGACTTTGAGCGTCGCACTGGAAAGGGCAAGTTTGCGACTTCCCTCCGAGCCGGCATGGAGACGCACCTTGCAGTTTCGTGGACCAGCTCGTGGACCAGCCATATCGAACCACGAAGCCGCTGTGATTTGAGGTTCATTGCAGGGTGTCCAACTTATTCGCATCCGAAACTTGGTCGAAATGAATGCCACGCAGCTCGACTTGTATCGGCCTTTGAAAGGAAGCCATAGGCGACCGAAGCGGACTGGGCTGGGGTAGAAATGCGGGCGAGCCACGCGGTTCTTCCTTCTTGAAGGGTACGTAGTATTTGCTGCAAGCCAATCACGTGTTTGGTTGGCTGCCACTTGCCACAAACAGGTGTGTCCCAAAGATACAAGGATGTTGAAGCAAATGTAGGTTGAACAAGCTCCAACCTTTGGCGGGCTACAACCCCCAAAGCAGGGCTTCCCCAGCAGAGAGCCGCAGCACCTCACATTTGCGGATCTGGACATTTAATTTGACTTTGGTCCCTTCAACCAAATCCAAAGGAAAATGTGGAGAACCTAGACCCTCTGACGCTGGGGTTGGGGAGGTTCCGCCTGCCATGCCGCCGCAGCCACCGCCTGCCCTGCTTCAGAGCCCAGCGACCCGGACCTGGGAAGGATTGAGGCCAGTGGAAGCTAGGCGTGGGTCAAAAAGAGAAGGCGACATGATGAGAACCTTTTGCTCCACCTGGTGGTGAGAGGGCTGTGCCTCATGCACTTCTTTGCCAAAATTGTCCCCCCAAGAAAAGAAAGGAAGTCTCACTCCCTTTAGAAAACAAAAAGGAAGTCTCACTCCCTTTAGAAAACAAGCAAGTTGAGAGGACCCGGGGCAGCGCAGGCCATGATAATGGCGAAAGGGGCAGGGGAGCGGGGCTTGGGTAATCTCATCTCGTTGTCATTGTTCCTATCCGTCGTGGTGGGTGTACAAAGTTGTTTCGCTCTGAGGTGAACGGGAAGGCAAGGATTTTTGTCCAGACTAGATTCGGTGCAAGTACACAATCTGATCCCCTGGCCCTTCCCTCCAAGCGTAGCTCTTCATGAGTTCCAGGACCACACCATGTCCATTTTTTGTCCAGCCAAATAACCCCTAATCGTCTAATTGTCTTAGTTAAAACACAAACACCGGTTTATGATGAGTAGGCCTTAGAGCCTTTTCCATCATGTCGCAAGCTCCTGTCATCTTCAGCAACACTGAGTTCCGTGACCCATGCAAAATGAGGTTGCCGTGATTTGCTGAAAACACACAAAACGCATGCCCCAAACCTCAACTTCCTGTTGCAAAAATGCCGATTAAGCGACCTTGCCAGCCTGGTTTGCCTGAGAGCAGCGATAAGGACCCATCTCCCACTCTTACACGAACAAAGAAGCAACTTGTCAACACAACACACACAGAGAGAGAGAGAGAGACACACACACACACACCCACACACCCACACCCACACCCACACCCACACCCACACCCACACCCACACCCACACCCACACCCACCCACGCACGCGCGCACGCACGCACACGCACGCACGCACGCACACACGCACCCACCCACACACCCACACACACACACACACACACACACACTCGCTCCCTCACCTCCAGCTCTGCAATGAAGCGACCTAGTTGACTCGCCACAAATGCTCAAACTGCTTGAGCCTTCAAACGAGGAACACACCTTTCCAACCAAAAGCTTAACGCTTGCCAACTCCACAGGTTGCCACTTCAATCCAAAGCGCAGGGAGGGCGGCTCGGAGACAGGGTTCGGATTCTGGGAGACGCAGGAGATGCGGCCTTGGCGCGAACACGCCAGAAGGCTTGGCACACGGCTCCAGCCCCCCCGCCCCTGTTTCGTGGAAAAAGAACCACGAAAACCAAACAACCAAGAAGGCCCATGAGTCTTCCAAAAGCTTGCAAGTCATACTACACACTCTTTGGCCAAAGCCAGCTAGTCCAGGGTTGCCCCGTTTTAAGACACACTCGTCTGGCTTGACCTGGTTGTCTCCCCCCTTTCACCCGCACCTCAAGTCCCCTTCCGGTGCCCAAGTCCACTCCACAAGTTAAGAGTCATCCCCCGGTGTGCCACGCCTTGAATTTTGACCACACATCCTACCTCGAGGTATATAATCTTCCGATTGGATTTGTGTTGCCACTGCTGAGAACCCATGGGAAAAAAGGACTAAATGACCTCAAGCAGAGAGGGGACCTTGCAGAAGGAAGGTCCCTAGAATCCCTTCATCGGGAGCCTTCTGCCAGGTCACCAAAGGGTGACGTTCATGGTGGTTTCCTTTCAAAAGGGTCCCCTTTGATTGTGACAAGCAGCCAGGCTCCTTGCACAAAATGCGGCCTCCTGTCCCTGGTGCAACTGAAAGAAGAAACTGCATAGCAAAACCTTCAGTGGGTGTTCAAAGCAAACCGCACTACACTGGACCACAACACAACACCTCCACACAAAACAACAAAGCACAACACAATATAATTACCACACACACACACACACACGCTCTTTCAACAATGATAGCTGTCGGCTGGTGTGTGTGTAAAGTACAATGTGATTGGTTTGCTTTCGGCCCTTCCAACATGCCCACCAGGCAGGGTTGTTCAAATATTCTGAAAAGAAGTATCCAGTTGTGGTCGTTCTAGCATCCTCGAAAGGGGGCTTCTGGGTATTATATTGCCAGTGGCGCAAAAAATGCTCAAGTGGAGTCCCTGTTTTTGCGTTGGTACGCTTGGAAGCACGTCATCGAATGACACATCCCCTCGTCTTTTCGGCCGACATACAAGGATGTGTCTCAAACCGAAGGCAACCAAAATGAATGGCGTCCTTGAGGCTTGCCTTTCAAACCAGCCCAAGGGGGAAGACACACACCCATATCCTTCACTCAGAGGCCGGCCGTTGCTTGGACTTGGCACCCCCTCCTCCTCCTGCAGCGTCAGCATACCATCAGCTGCCGCAAATTCGGTGTTCTTGCAAAATGGTGAATCGAACAAGATGTGGCATCACAGCCTTCTTGATGATGCTCAAAGAAACTGAAGGAGCTGGGTGACTGCCATCACCACAAGTGGACCAACACAGGAAAACGGGAATCCCTTCTTAGCAGAGACCCTGTCAAAAAGCGGGTCAAAGAGGAGACCCCAAAAATTGAATGGTGTCCCAGGGTCTCGCCGGGGCGTTCATGTGTGCGCTCCTCCTCAAGCTTGGCGGCGATCCTGGGTTCCCAGATCAGGCCGGCCTGCAGCTGCTCCAGGGGTAGCTACTGGAGAGTGTTCCTCACTCATGCTAACCTACGGGTGAACCAGGGGGGGGGGGGTCCCCTCACCAATGCTAACCTATGGGGGCTCCTACGGACATGCGGGTGCACCAGGGGCGGGGGCGTGTGACAAGTGTCAGCGCCTTCTTGCACCCTTGGTGCCACCTTTTTGCCACTTTGATGAGGGTCGGGACCCAAAAGTGGACGGAGCGCCAAGAGGAGCAATCCATCAGCACTAGGTTCCAAGTCAAAAACAAGAAACGAGGTTCAAACCATCTACAGGGTTCCTGGTATGAACTACAAATGGCTCATCCAGAACCCCCTTAAAATAGCTGACAAGCGTGTTGTTTCATATGCTAAATATGCATTAGTTGAGGAAGCCCGTTCTGCGATATATGTAAACGAACCATGTGCTTCATGGTAATATGTTCAAAATGAAAAACCTTAAACTCTGGCGGTTTGGTCCACACCTCTTCACAACCTGTGCCAAGATTCGGCACTTTGCAGCTGGGGCGGTGGCCAGCACGTCCGCAATCTGATCCCAAGGATAGTGCCCTTCCTTCTCCGTCCTCCAGACCTTGATTCTGCGAGCCCGTGTCAAAGCCAGTGGAACCTCTCGTGTCTCCCCTTTTGACGCTAAACAGGGGGTACCGCCACAAGCAGTTCTAGCTGTGCTTCTTGCAGTCCTTCCATGAAAACTTGTCTGACCCTCTTTGCCCTTGACGTTTGCTGTCCTCCCAAAAGAATTCACAGGTGGTTTTTGTTCTGGGCCCTAAACACGAAACCAGACGAAATATCCGGGCCTTGGCCGCATCACTGTTGACTGAGGCTTGGTAGGAGCGGAGCTGCCTGGCCGGATGAACGTGCGGTTCCTGCGCTGATATTCCTGCAGTCCGTGATCGTTGTGCACGAACGGACACGAATATGGGTGTGTCTCAACTATTGCCTCCTAAAGCCGGCCTCGGAAAAAAAAAAAAAAAAAAAACGCCCCACATGCAGCCTCCCAAGAGAACATCTCGTACTGCCCACAAGCTCCTTATCCTTGGGCTGACAAGCTGCCTCTAGTCGCAGGGGAGCCCGAGCCAAAAAGCATCCCATTTCGGCCTCTCAAGATTCGGGACCTTATTCAAAGCTGCGCTGCCCTCAGATCCCCTGCTAAAAGTTTAACTTTTAGTGGGTTAAATGGAAACTACCACTAAACCAACCAAAAGCCTAAAAAGCCAAGGTGACGGCTGGGGGCCAAGAAAGGGTTGAAATACTTTGAGCTTCCTTCCAACGCCATCCAAAGGTCCCGCCATATCCCGCGCCTGCGGCGGCCTCTCCAGGTCAAGGTGCCCAGGCTTGCCAGCAAGACCTATCAATCTCTGCACATCAGAGACGCAAAAAAATGGCATCGCCCTCCCGGAAGGAACCTCATTCGGCTGTGGCTCAAAAATAGGGTGACCCCAAAATGGCACCCTGGTAAATGGAAACCAGGACTAAAACCTGTGGTCCCCTGGCGTTTTGATTTTGACCCACACCCATTTGGTTGGTCCGGAGACATTCTCATGTTGTGTCGGTCCAGAACGATAAAGCTTCCAATACAGGGGATAGTTGGACCCATTGCACGCATGTACGGGATCCCAAAAGAACTTCTGGAGTGAAGCCGGGTTGACCCACTTTCTGTGAGGTTGCTGGAATTTGCCCAGTCAAATCAATCAAATGACCTTGTTTCACACATTCATTCTTCCAACTTGCCACCTATCCCAAACTGGAAACGCCCTCCTTCAGAATGAACACTCATGCAAACACAAACAGCCTTGGAACAGTGGAACTATTGACAGGAATCCCCAAGCAGAGGTGGCACTTCGAAAGGGGCAGGCATCAGAATATAGACCTTGCAGTGGTTCTTGAAGCTTTCCAAGGATCGCTGAGCCAAAACCGAACGGATCTTCAGCATAGCCCGTTGTGACACGAAGTCGGGGCTTCCCGCTTCCTCTTTGGCTCTTTGGGCACTCTTGGGCGTGTTTACATGGCATGCCTGAAGCATGAGCCCAACCAAAGGGAAAACTGACTGAGGAAATTCCAGTGTTGGCTTCCCAGCCCCGAGCCCGCGGCAGCCAATGCTGCGGCCAAGGCAATGCCAAAGGCGTCCGGGCCCTGTGCGCTCCCAACATGGGACGTGTCCATTTGAATTCCCGACAAAGGGAACTTTCTAAAAAGGGCATGCCCCTTTCTTGCCCTGGTGCAGTGGTAGCTGGAAAGGCTGGGATCTTCCTACATAGGCAGCCCATCAGTTTGATGACTTCCACCAACCCCAAACAACTTCCTTCTGGATTAAATGGGGTATCATAGCTGAAAGAATGCTGTTGCAATCCCCATTCCACTCTATTGTTCTCTGGGCGTAGTGGCTTGGGCAGTATGTGACAAAGCCAAGGACCCGGAGCCACTAGTCTTTGAGGCTCCCCAACATGCACTTCGGAAACCGGAACTCAAACACTGAGCCAGAAAAAATATGCAGCCACGTGCCTTACGGAATCGCTTGCCCTAGAAGTGTTGGCATCACTGCTGGCAACGGCGTGTTGCTCCTTGACTGTGGTGCACATAGAAGATATAAACAAATTAGGAAAAAACAACACACGCGGCAACCAATTAACAATGTTGCCAATCCTAGCACCAGCAGCATCACCAAGTCGGGCGTGGGCTCCAAAGATTGGGCTCTGAAGCGGGCACAGGGCAGCAGCTTTCAAGGTGTCTGAAACAACCTGTCGCCACACCCCAGAGTTCTCTCACAGCACCTGAAGGAGATAGAAACAGAGAGCCCCCGCCTCATCCAATCCAAAGCAACGGAAACCATCACTTGTATTCCCAGAACATGGGAAAATTGGGTGGTCTGCCTGGTTCGTGTGCAATCTGGATTGCCCTCCCGCAACTGCCATCGATTTCACCAGCGTTGCAGCCTGCGGCTTCGGTTTGTCCGCGCTGAGGGCCAGGTCTTGCTGAGCCACCTGTCACTTCCCCAGGCAATTTTCAAAACAAGGGGGCTTGCTCAGTTGTTCAGTGACCCTGGAAAAAAGGGAACCCTTTTTGGGGAAGACCATTTTTAGTGGGGCAGCCACCAAAAAAAGGAAAAAAGGGTGCAACTGAACAACTGAGCTTGGTTTGCTTCTTTGTTTGGTTGACTGCCTGGTCGGTCGAGTCGGTTGCTCGGTTGCCGGTTTATTGCCTGGGCAGTCCGCCAGTTGTGTTTGGGCTGCAATTGGCACCTGCCGAGCAGCCAGTGTGCTCTAAGCTCATGCATGGCAGGAGCCAACCTTCTATTGTGACAATCTCATCCAGAATCGCCTGGCATCAACAGGAACAGTCAGAAAAGCAAATGCCCACAGGACACCTGGTTTCCGCTTCCCTGAAATTCGTACCACCGATCAAAAATCCGTGCGGGAAAAGAGCGTCCAAAACTTAGTGTGAGGGTGATGTATGTGTGCCGGCGCACGGATAAGTCAACTGACCTCCTCCATTTCTCAAGAGGGCTGTGGCGGACTGAACCTATCTCAAAGAGTCCGCCTGTGACTAGGTATACCCTTTGACACTAGGGGTATCTACGCCATGGTTGAGCCCTGAGATAATGAAGGATGGTGACGGAGCAAGGGAGCCTCATGATGGCTATCAAGAAACTCCGGGCAAGCTACAGCAACCCACTCCACCCCCTCTTCCGCACCTCGCTGCCGCCCCCCAGTGATCAAACCAATTGGGCCAACGGCACATGCGCCCCACCCAACCGCAGGCCTTGACCACCATTGCTCCAGGTGTCGTGGAGACCTTAGCACAAGCGTCGTTGTTGCCCTTGGTGGCTGGAGCTTCCACTGGAAACCGAGCACCGAAACCGAGCACCAACTTCCCTTTGCTTTTCCTGTTCCTATTTTCCAGAAAGGCAAGGCCCTGAGATTGTGGACCCGGGAAGCCTTTGCCAGCTCAGGCCATACAGCTTTATCCAGCTAAAGGACTTCGTTGAGGGGGGGAAACCAGCCACCGCTGCAACTGGCTGACTATCAGTGAGGAACCACAAAAGAAGGCAGTACCATTCTCCTTCAAAGCTGA